CGATCATTTGACGAGGTGGGGAGGAGAGAAAAGAAATTCGCACTTATCACGCTGACATCCCGAGCGAACCGAATAAAACTAGAAATATAGGATAAGTTAGAAGTATATACTTATATGATGGATGCTGTTTGCGAGTAGTTCATCAAGTGGTGGCGACGTGACAGTTACATGAGACTGGTTGAAGTGGTGGCCCGTGTATACAGGGTGATTTTTTGAAATAATTTTCTGATTAGGGGGGTTTTTATATACATAATTTCGGTTATTTATGAAAAAAATTAATTCATTTAGTGATCAAACTATTAATATTTTTAAGAGGGTAATAACTATAATTAGCGTTCAAATCTTCAACAAGCCGAGTGGCCCTGGCAAAATGTGATTTTCCTGCACCTAATACATTTATATATTTGCATTTATCGAAGTTCTCATGAAATATTTTATTTGTATAAATACGAAATCGAACTATATTTTTTCATCGATTAGAGTAAAACGATTGTGAAATAACTAAAACCTAAATAATTTATTTTCCACAAAATACACAAGATCTGTTTCACGAAAAAATTGTTTTGTCATTAAACTCCAATTTTAGAGTTACCCAATGACTTTCGTCCTTCGTACTCGGTATTATATATATCTATATAGATATTAATCATAATAATATTGAACACGTTTACTAAATCATCATCATTCATCATTATCGAATATTCGAATATCGTTGTCATCCTCATCGTCATCACTGTAATACAGTATAGTCTATGCGATTATAATATTAACGCATGTACTGTATAATAATATTATTGTGACTGACGACCGTTTCGACAGCGTACCCGAAACGAAAACTCGCGGAAAAGAAATCTGACACATCGAACGCGTTTTCCGACGAACCGATGACAAAGATTTTCGCACTGAGAAACAGTCGAGTTGAGAAACACGCCGATGCACTAAGCGAGTGCGATCTCACGTGTCGCGCAGCACACGATATGTGACGATATAGGTATAATAATAATAATAATAATAATAATAATAATAATCATAATAATTGACGGTTTGATTGTACGTCATATGTGTATTATAAACGGCGACGTTGTGAAAGGTCCTGCATATCGTCTATATATTGCTGCTAATACGACCGCCGCTCCGGGGACCCCCGATGATCCACACTACAACAATAAAACATATTATTATATATAATATATAATTTATATATATCACGACCGCGTGTGACGCCGAACCGATTATTATTGTACGGTGTATAATATAGGAATTACGCGTGGAATTCCGGACGAGATGATATATATATTTTTTTTCTTGTCGGATTTATCATTATTATATTATTATATTGTATTATATATATATATCCGTACTACGTATGGGATGGTTCTTATATGGAAAGTTTTCGAACACATCTCGTCGAAAACGAAACTATCGTCAGATCCATTTTGACGCATGTTATATTTTATTATTGTTATTATTATTATTATTATTATTATTATTATTATTATTATTATTATTGTCATTATCATCGTCATCATCGTTGACGATTTACAGCCGAAAACGACGATTCGGATTCCGATAACGCGCTCACGACGGGTAATTCGTTTTTAAACCGTCGGCCTGTGATCACAAAGCTGCAGTAGTGCAGTATATTATATTATGCGAATGAAAAAAAAATGAACGACCTACAAATTACACAATAGCTAAAATAAGGATTAGAAAACCAAAGCATGCAGTCTAAATTCCGGACAGTTGTTGTATTAGCCATTGCCCATTAGGTAGGTACCTTTAAATGTTTCGAGTTTATTTCAATTCGAGTAACGGCTATTGTGTATAACCTCTCATAAGTCTCATATACAAAATAATATAATCTTTGAACTATTAAAGTCCAGATACTAGTGCCTAATTAATTTTGAAAAAAAAAACTATTACTTCTAACTATTTTAAATTTAACTTATTTATGTTTCCACTTATATGGTATAAAGCTGCCATACCTACCTAATCCACTTGTAGCTCATTTAACGAAATGGACATATAACTTGTACATTGTACAACTCTCAACCATGTTCAAATAAGTAATAAGATATAAAATAAAGTTTAAGAAAATGTATAATTTAATTTTCATATTTCATTATATTGTAAGTAAGAAAGTTTAATATTATAATACATCAAGCAACTATCATAAATAAGAATAATATTAAACAATGTGGAAAAAATGAATTTCAACCACTTCATGAAAAAATAAAAAATTATGTAGTAAAACTTCATTCTCACTAAATGGATACATTGTGGTCTGTGGATGTACACAGTAGATGTCCACTTCATGAAATTAATGATTTTGCAAAAAAGACGAGACTTATAAATGGATAAAATATCAAGCTAATAAGTTATCGTTAGTCAATAATAATATATAAAAGATTTTTATATAAAACGTGAAAATTTAATTGGGAAGCACAAAAAGCGCAAAAACTGTGTACCTTTTTTATGTAAACCTACCAAATTCGTATCGTTTGATGAAGGATTGTTGATAAGTTAAAAATGTATCTATAAAATATTTTTCTTTAAATTAATTATATTTCATAAATATCTTAATCTCTTTATTTTTAAATCATTTTTTTTGTAATACAACAATGCTTTATATGTTTGTTAGAAATTATAAAATTACATGTTTTGAGTAAACACAGTGATACACATCATATTATTTTATTTATACAATCGTCAATGAATATCGTTAGAATAAAAATGGAATAAAGTTATCGGATATCCCTTCTTAGAATTATTTTTTTATTCAGGATTAGAAAGTTAGTACGAATATAATTTGATATTTTTCTGGTCAAAGAGCATACACTGTTTTTCACGAAAATAGTAATTTTACAATAAGTTCAATGGTTTAGGTGCAGTGAAATCTATAACAAGAAACACACCAGTCTATTAATATTGATGTAGGTACTACAATACAAATTGATTATAGTAATCGATTTCGTCCGATTGTGTGACATTGATGACTTCTGTAGATACAAATAGGCATTAAAAAAAAAACCGATTTCTTTAACACTGAAATCTTCAAATCTCTTTGTACGTACCTACAACCAATATAGTTACCGGTATAAATATGATATAAAATATTATCATTTCTGTTTTGAAAGTTCCAATCATAATCCGACTTCGAGTAGTCTTATTTCGATTAACGCATACTTAACCGATACATTATCATAATATATAATATTATGTTTTAGTTACATTTATAATATCAATTTACTGAGAGAGGCAGAGCCAGCAATAAGTATAGTTACATATTATAATAGTTAATATAGCCATATTAATACTTAAAAAATAAAACCATAAGGTATGTTGAGGAATAGTTAAACTGTTTAAAACCAATATATCATTTATTATTTCGTATATCTAATCATAATTATGATATCGTTTTGAAAAAAATAACTTTTCTTAGCATTTCTAATAAAATTCTGACATCAGTTTTTCAAAAATTAACTTTGCCTGTTATTTATTTTAACGTTTTTGTAATTTTTACAGTTATTTTTAGTGATCTGAGTGATACAGGATAATATTAGGATACAATGTTATTGGGGGGATACAGCATGTCATCTTTGACATTTTTTTTTGTAGTTATCTTCGGCGCCCCCCCTTCCCGTTTATTTCGTTTACAACTATCTATCCCTCTTAGATTTTTAAAAACAAATTGTTTTAATAATTTGTAGCTTTTGTGTATACCAGATAATATATTTAACAATATTGACTTATTTTGTTTACACAAATATCTGTAAGACTGCAAATGATCTTTTTTTCCAAAACGAAATTGTTTTCTAAAATTTTAACAATGTTTGACACTGAAAGTCAGTGGACCAAAACGTCACTTGTCCGCTTAAAATATAATCCCAAAATCTGGTATCTACAATAATAAAATAATGGTAATCATTAATAACTGAAATAGATGATAGCGATAATATAGCACTGTACTGGAGTTTATAAAAACGCAAAATGTAGGAATTTACCGGATTAGAATTTAGAAACCCCGCACTCCTCGGCCCCACTTCCACCTCTTATTTCGATCCACTTCGGAGACTGATTATTTTAATAATTTTTTAATCCATGCATACAATTTTATTTTCCCGAACACAAATACCTATGTATATGTATATTCATACAATTTGTATTCACAGTGTAAATATAATGACGTGTTTCTCGCGAGAATGACAGTGCAATATTTTCAAGACATTATGAAATAATGTACGTATAATAAAATATTATGTTTTAAACGTAATTGATATAGTTATAGTTTCACTTTTTTTTTCTCTTAGTTAAATACCGATATTTAGTATGTCAACACGGAGCCTATCTAGGTATATAGATAGTATATAATATAGTTACGCGCGATGAATGATAGACGTATGAATAATATAGTGTTAGCAGGTATGACCGAATAATAACGTTATTAGGTAATATTTGTATACGTACGAACTCTTCGATTATCATTTTTTACGCTCACGGATTTTTTTTCTAACGATAACTGCATTGTATACCCATTCTGGAGGTACATTATGTTTATATCCGTGTAAAGAGGTGATAGAAAAAAAAGCAACAAACAACAATACTATACAAATATTATGGGTATCTAACACAATAACCGCGTGCATGATAATAATATGTTTGCATCGATGTATAGTGAGGAAACTCATCCAAAGATTAAAAACATTTTGTAATAAAATGTACAATACTTAAACAACAAAAAATAATACTGTGTATTATTATACTGCTCAACGACGCGTGTGGGGCGCTTAACGCAAGCAATCTCACTGGTGGCAATTTTTTTGAAAGTTATGCGGGGCTGCAAAATATGGTACGAATACAAGATTCGCATTTCTTTAAATGTCAGAGTTGAAAAAATCGATTATTATTCATCCAGAAGATAATATAATATCCCCAATCACTGTTTTTTTAAAATTTTTATTCAAACTATAAAATTAGGAATAATATACAATAAAAACTGAATTTTCAATAGTATGATTTATAAAATAATATTAATTGCTAGTATCATAATATTATTAGAGCACACAAAAAGTCGATACTTCTTACATTAGGTATCTAGAGGGGGAAATCTCAGCAGAATTTGGGCTCTCAAGTCCTGTTCAATACACCGTCTAACCTATCGGCGAGCTTCGTTTGTCATTATGGCGGTCTTCGCTGCGGGTAATCGTCATAATCGGCGGGACACGTGTCGATATAATATTATTATTATCGGTTCCGTCACACGACGGAAGTAATTATTATTATATCCGCAGACGAATCCGTGTTTTCATATCGTTCGAAAACCCATACGTCGGAATTTTTTCTTCGCCTTCCGTCTGCACGCTCGCACACGCGTCTGGCGGGAGATTTTCACTCTCGCCGGCAAGAAAAGCGTCCCCTCTCCGCCCGTCACCAGCGGCGGTCGATCTCCTACGCACGACGCGGGAAATCTTCGGCCGCCGCTGATCGTGCAGGCGGGTTGGGTTCGGTTTGGATTTGTAGTCGTATACAGTATAGTCGTTCCGCCACCGACGCCGACATGTCGCAGTCTCCGAGTGCCGTCCGTCAGAATAGGGACGTCGTTTAATAACAAATAATAGTTAAAATATTATTGTCACTGTACCAAATTATTATCGTCGTCGCGTCGACTGCATTTCTATCGTCTCGAGGGTGTGTTTTTCCGGCACGTAATATTCGGTTTTCCGGTTTTCGGGTTTTTTTCGTCTATGAAATCTCGTCTGTCGCGTCCAAATGAATAATGGCCAACACCGCTGCGCCGACCATGTGTTGTAGTCGCGGGTCCACGGCGGCGGCCGGCCTGTTGTTTTTGTTGACGTTGACTTTGAGTCACCCGGCCGCCGCGGACGTCCGGCATGCCCGCCACAAGAGGACGGTGTCGGATCTCATGGAAGGACTCATGAACGCAATGTACTTTCACGTGGACCCGATGCCCTTGCCGTCCACCGTGATCGCCCGTATCACTCATTTGACGGCACCCAGCAAAGTTTACAAGACGTAAGTCCATACTATTATTATTACTTTATCACTATTATTATCGTTATAAGTATAAAAAACTAGAAAACTAAAAATACGATTATTTTACTTAATTTATACTAAGGTTTTGTCACTAATATTATAATTGAATTGCAAAATGATTATTTTCATAAATTTTTAATTAATTATATTTTAGTTCCTCTGCAATATAGGCGATCGAGTGTTAAATAAAATTTAACATTTGATTACCCAAGTATAACTTTAGTCTATAGGTAATAACAACATGCATTTTTAAAGTTGAATTTCACTTTATTTTTAATAGTAGGTAGTTTTTTAAGACGGGTTATTTAAATGTTAACTGTTAATCAAATGTATTTACGGGTAAATGTGCAGTTAAAAAGTATTCTACCCGTCCTATTACATGCACGAATTAGTATTTTTATTTTGATAGTTTCACTTTTAGTTTCCTAAATTTTAATTCTAACACGTGTCAAAATGTACATCACACTAACAATTTTTGATTTTACGTTCCGCGGGATTAAATCATAGGAAATAGAATAATAACAGCAAATAGGGCAGCTGTCATTTTAATATGTAATTTATATAACTATATAGCAGTATAGCTAAGTATTAAGTATGATCTGTTTGTTATATTAATTATATTGTACTATTAATTCTTTGAAAAATATATAAGTACTGGCATTACTGATATTAGGAAGATGAAATTCGAGGAGGATAAAGTCTATCGAAAAGAGACAAACTATTTTGTGCACGTCGTAGGTATACACTATACGCTTTAAGTATATAGGTCGTTTAGAAGTTTTACAGACATTAACCAATTTCATCTCAGAACTTAACGCTCCACAAAACTTGGTGCTTTAGTTTCTAATTTTTGATCCATTGTGCTAATTTAATTTCAAGAAAGTACCAAATGAAATAGAATACAATTTATCGTAGATACTATCCCAAGAGTTTAGATCGTATACAAACACTCAAACCCATACAAGTTGAAACTTGCCAAGAATGGTGTCGGTCACAAACATTCAATTATTTGGGTACCCATTTCCAAAATGAGATTATAAATGTCTGCAGTAGAAATTAAGGGGGCCGTGCACTTTGGGGTAGGTAAACTTTTGCAAACATTACATTATGTTTATTACGTGTATACGTGTATACCTTGTACTTGGATAATGTTAATTATTAACAGTCTTCCCATACAATATATCGTAATGTCATTCCTTTAACTTCCACTTACAGTCATATTATGTTTATGATTTACATATTATTGTCTGTTTTTTAATTATATTTACATAAATATGTGTTTGGGCTGGATACACGATAGAATATTTCTGACCGATTTTTCGTATAGTCACTTATTAACAAGACAGTATTTCTGATTCATAGATATTCCCCATAGAGAAAAATATCGAGTAGTATAGTGCACGATAAGTAGTCGAAATAATGCTCAGATTTTTATTATTGCTTATCAAATTTATATTTTATGTAATTGTCACATTATTGCATACTCATCACAACACTTTAATTGTAAATTGTATTCAATTCCTTTCCGATGGTATTATTAATTGTGTATTTTGTACATAATATATAAATACTGCATGTTGTTATACCTATCGATCGACAACTATTTCACTTTCAGATTAAATAATTTCAAATAATTCAATATGCATTTATCACTCCAATTAAATTTGAATAGTAAAAATAAAAAATGATAAATTGGTAACATTTGTTGAAATATCTATGACCAATATTATAATAGTGTTTAACGTTGATATTTGTTATTTCGAAATAACTCATTTTCCTTATATAACGTACTAGATAGGAAGTGTTTTATACATACACAGTGGAAATGGTATGTATTATAATATATTGTGTTATGACATTTTTTATAAAACTATACATTGTAAATTATCGATGACAAATATCTATTACCTGCGTATCATTTATTTAAGATTTGAAATTGTATTATTTTTCAATAGCATTGTAATAATATAATATACTAAATTATAATCATGTTCTTGATTATTTCTTCTATCATTGTTTTCTATAGTTTTTTTCTTAACACGAAAGTAATACAATTCATATTTTAACGAATTAGGTACGTCGTACATGATAATATACAAAGTGGAAGTATTACTATGAATGAAAAAAAATTGACTGTAGGTATTTAATGATATTTATATTTATTTGGCAAAATAATAATAATATTTTGATTATATTCTCGACTAAAAAAATTACGCCCACGTGGTTAAAAAAACATTTTCTTTGATTATATTATTGTAAAAGCGCTCCTTATTCTGCTAATAACTAAAAAAAAATAACAGAAGTGAAGACGGACGACGGACCCATGTATTGAGTATTTTTCATTCGTCATAGATAATTTTTTCTTATACTTACTATATTTATTTATTATTTATTATTTTTTTTTACCAAGGAGAAAAGTATAATATTGTTGTATAAATAATTGATCAATTTCGTTGGGCAACTAAATAATTTTACTTTAGATTTATAGAACCACTATTAAGTATTGGTACCACGATGAGCTAGTTATTGTAATCTACTTGAGGCATACAATATGAGTACAAAATAATTAATAATCCACGACTATGTAATTTTAAACTTTATAAGTATTTTTATTTATCTATTATTTTATTTATTAATTACGCCCAAGATGAGTAAAAGTTACAGAATATGTATACAATAAGTTACATTATTTAGTTGGTAAAGAATATAGTAGGCGCTGCGGATCATAAAAAAAATCAATATTTGTCATTACAGAACATACACAATACACATACGTTTTAACGGGCTATAGTAACTGTAATTCTGGCGGTGGTAGTCAATATGAAATAGTGAGTGATTTCGAGAGTTTAACGTAGGTACCTTAAATTTAATTTAATTTAATAGATCGGGACAATCAATTAGATTATCAATAAGTTTATATATACAATTAACACCTTTAAATAATTAAGTTTATTAGATCACATATTATAATTAAATATTAAAAGAATGATGCTATTCGTTTTTTTTTTTTGGATTTAACGAGTGCCTTCAAAATTGATAATAATATAACAATTTATGTTCCTTGAAAAATAATTGCGGTATTTATTTTTAGTATAACTAATGGTTCTAGAAGATATTTTATATTAAATATATATGTACCCAATAAATTGTTTACAGATATTATTGTTATGGACAAAATGTGCACTAGTCCATTGCTTTGTTAATGATATAAATATTTAAAGTGATTTTTTTTTATTGAACTCCTATTAACATATTCAATCATAAATTCGATTCATTATCGTTAATTTAATGTGTCTAGAAAATTATACTACAATGTTCAGCGATTCACGTGAATTTCTATTTAAATTTATGTTACTTGATGTCACGTACAAGACTATTGTTTATAATCATAATTTAAAATCGCCGCCCAAGAGAAAATACCTTTGTCCAATTTAAATTGCAGAACAATCGTTTATGAAACTATATTCATTTTATTCCATTTTTTTAAGTCTTTTTCGTGACATTTTTATTTTTATTTTGATACGGTAGATTGACGAGTTTGATTTTTTTCTACAGGTACGTTCCAGTGCAAACATTAAAGTTATCGAAATTGCGTGCTCGTCAAATAGCTGAACCAAAATTAAGGCTAAAATATCCGAAAAAAATTTCAATAGCTACAGAAGACTCGTCGTTGACATTGTTGAAAAACGATCTTCCTTGGACGCTACACCCGCTTCCGCCTCCTTTGCCAACGGCCAAAACGATTAAGCTCGAGGTGGACAAATCAATGCCGTGGGCATTGCACCCGCTCCCGCCGCCCGTCAAGACGAAAAACTATTCCGATTACTATTGGCCGGACTCTAAAACACGGCCAAAGTACTATTACAGGTCGAAACCGTCGAAGCCATACCGTTATATCAATAATTATAATAATAATAACTATAAATACAAAAATCCAAAGGCTCACTCAAGTTTCAAACCGACTTCCGAGTACAGCAAGCCCGCTGTCAATTTCAAGTCCGTCGTCAATCATGATACCAAGCCAGACGATTACAATAGTCACGGTGATCACAAGCCCGCCGATTACAATAGTCACGCTGATCATAAGCCCGTCGATTACAACGATAATAATAATAAGCCCGACGACAATAATTATAATCACGTCGGCTACCAGCCCGATAGTTTCAAGTACATCGACTACAAGCACACCGATTACAAGCATGTCGATTACAAGTCTCCGGACTACAAGTCCGAATACCCGAAGCATGCGATGGACGAAGAACCTCACGAAATCCACAACGACGACGACCACTACGACCACAACGACGTTTACCATTACTCGCACGACGATCACTCGGCCCAAATCAACGATTCGCCGTCACAAGCTCCACCGCCCTCCGCCGAGTACGTATCGCACATCACCATCGAGCCTTCCATTCAAATCGCGTCGTTTTCGGAAACGGAACTGCAAGGCGACGGCACGAACAGGGACAGCAGCAGCCTGTCTCAAGGCGATGCGAAACACAGGTCGTGTCAGTGTACAATAAACGGGCACCGGCACAAACGTGATGCGGACACCGAAGACGACCACGATGGTCCTCGCCATCTGCCGTGGGCAACCAACGATACCGCTGCGGTCACCAACATCGACGCCAACGACAACCGTACCGCGACCCGGAAGCCGACTGATTCGAACGCGGCTCAGTCCTCGAGGAACGCGTACTTCGCGCCGCGAGTCGGACACGCCACCGACGTGCAAATAATCAAGTCACACGACATCACCGATCAGTCGATGATCAACGGTCCCGCAAACGGTCCTGGTCCTGCGGACGATCCAGCCCATGCACACGGTCCTGCGGGTTCTGCGAACGGTCCCGGGCCGGCGAACGGTGTGGGTTACGTGCAACGGGTGCGTGACATGCACTACGACCTTCCGGTCGCCCGGCCTACGCCCGCCGAAGCGAAGAAGAACGACGCGACCACGTTCAGGGACGAGAGCGACAAGTTCAAAGTGGACTTTGGTCGTGACATCAACGCTTGGGACGAGACGAAATCGGCTGCCAACAAACAGGGATCGCGGTACTCGCTGATACAACACGACGTGGGTGGTGGAGGCGGAAGTGGTGTCGGTAACTCGGGTTTGGCTGAGGACTACGGAAACCGACCGACCAGGGACAGACCGGACACGCGGGGCAGAGGTTATCACGCCGTCAGGAGCAAAGTGGAGAACTCGGATCGGGGCGTGTCGTTCAGCGTGCAGACTCCGTTTTCCGTTTCTAGTTTCTCGTCGAACGTCCGACATCCGGAAGAACGGCAGTCCCGGTTTCGTTACACCGGACACAAATCCGAGTCGTCGGCATCGCCATCGCCGGCACCGTTGTTGTCGTCGTTCCGGACCGAACACGCGGAACCGCCGCTGGACTTTGAGCAGTTCGGCTTGAAATCGGCTCTGGGCGACGACCGTCCGCTCGATCATTTTTCGCGGGATTTGTTTGAAGACAAACAGCCGGAACCCGTTCCGATCGGTCGGCTCTCTTCTCGATTTCCGGAGAGCTTCGGCGCGGATAGACGACCCAGTTCCGGGTTTTTGGGTCGGCCGGTCTCGCACTTTTCGAGGGATTTCGGCCACGACAACGACGACCGGAATCGTCATTTGAAAACGTTCCGGTACAATAACGCGAAACACGGCCCATCGCAGTCGGCCGACGATCTGTTCGACATCCGGTCGAAGGGCGGACGTCCGTCCAACGAAGAGTCGGTCTTGGAATATTTCCAACCGGTCGTTATCGATTTCGACAAGTCAAAGCAGGACGGCAACGATTTCAAATCGTTTGGCGGTGGCGGCGGCAGCAGCAACAACTACGGCGGAGGCGATAAATCGAGGTACTTCGGTAAAACGGATACTTCGATTTTTGCGAAATTCAAAAAGAATCAGAACTCCGATCACCTCCGTTTGCCCGGCCGTCTGCACGAGTCCAACGAGAACTTGTCGAGGAAAATGCTTTTACACCCTTCCACATTCGACATAGATTAACCCGATTGTCCAACTACTTAAACATAACAGCTCGTATGACTTTCCTGTAAAACTATTTAAATACGTTTTCGTACAGACTATGATTTACTTACAACCGTCGTTAAAAAACCATCGGATGCAATAGGTGATTAAAAAAAACCATATTTTGCCATTATGCATTCTTATTGTGTGAAGGTAATTATTATTATCACTATTATTTCTATTATAAGACAATGTATGCATATTAACTACTTCCAGTCCTGTACTAAAAAATAATTGGAATATTTTTTATACAAATATTATAATACAAAATTATGTTGATCGGTTGTTTCATCTTACAAGAGCAAATTCTTGTATCTATAATTGAATTCAGCTCGGTGCTTTTAAAAATTAATTACTTTTTTTTAGTGAATACTTTACTCTATATTGTTTTTAAATAATATTTAAATCTGTTATCGCTAATAAATTTAGGGTGCCATGTAAAATAAAATATTTTTAATATTGGATGATAATAAAACGTTTTTAAATACTGTATAAGGTGACATTTAAATATGTTCCTTGAGACGGCTATTATTTTTATAGTATATACAGAACGTGGTTTGCGATTAATTTGTATACTTAGAGCATATTTATATAATATAATGTACAAACATGTGATGAATGTGTCGATTTTAATTACTATGTTCATAATATAGATTATAATACTATGATCGTTTATATGTTATGTAATGATTTTCTTGATGGAATTATAAAATATGTAATTTAATTATAATAAATAAATAATTTAATTTATATATTATGTATAATGTACACGTATCGACATTTTAAAAGCTTAAATAATTGACACTTATTATAATTGTTTCAGAAATATTTCACCTAACCTAGGTATACTGAAAGCGCAACATTTCGACAGCCTAAGCTCAATTACGAATAGGTACATAGATAGATAAAACTAAACTATATAATATAAAATAAAACTATAAACAATTATTATACAGTTGATTCTGCCGAAATGTTACGCCTTGCAGTCGCTATAGTGTGCTTAGATACACTGGAAAAATCTAGAAAAAACTTGAAAATTTAAATAACAACTTTAAATTATCAACATCATATTATACAATAATGATTATAACATGATAATGCATTGATTTAGTCTGAAAGATAATGATGGTTTGGAAAATCACGTCAGTATTGGTATAGGTACGTCTCATGTTTGTTATGGTCGTAAAATGTTTAAATTATACACATTATCAATAATTATCTTATTCATTATGCTATTATAGTAAGCAGTTGATGAGCGTAAACCTATATACGTAGGTAACCTATTTGAGTCCCATTGAGTGTATTTTAAAATGGTTTAGTATGGTCCATAAGTGAATAATTTTTAGAAACTCTCTAGAAATTGGTATTCATCAGACCGTAATAAAAAATCCTAATAGATAAACAAGAGAATGCTGGAACACTGCAGAGGATCACGGAAGACTATATAATACGATTACCGTGCAGGCCGACTCCGCCTGTAATAATGTGAAATAGGTAAGTACAGATTAAAGGTCGAGAGAATGAATACGACAAGATCAGTTGAAAACGTTTTTCAATCAAACCAAAGTCGATGACAGTCTGCAGTCGTAAGTACACCGTAATTCGAAAAATCTCAATAGGAATGCGTAACAATAAATGGGCCGGTAAAATAATATGTATAAATAGCTTATCATTGTACGCGGTTGCGATCTTAGCAAAACAAAAATTAACGGATAATATTTTCTTTGGGGTACATTAGTCCTACGGAGCAATTATTAAACATAATTTTGTCAGCTATGTATGGAAAATGAAAAACGTGTGTAGTTCCTCGCCAAGTGTTTCTCAATCTTTGAACAGTGTACCTATATTAGGCACATATAGTTTTCCGACATTCCGCATACATTTTCAGCAGCCTTGTATTACCAAAATGCGGTTAAACTGAGAGAGAATATATTTTTATTTTTTACCGTCCGCATTAAATATTGATAATTTTTATTTTCAAAAATAATAATTGTCATATAGATCATTTATGGTAATGTTGGCCGCCCAACGACCGAGAAAAGCTATAAACGCAAAATATTTACATTTATTCATAATCATTCGTCATTTCCTCTAGTCCAATGACGATGATTTTCTTTTTGCTGAAAATCGTTTTCGACGAAACTCGTAATAATATAGTTATCACCGTAGCGCGGTACTTCTGCATTTTAAATACACGAGTTATCACGAGGAAACATAATATATGGTTTATGAAAGAAATTAGAGCGTTTACCTGCGTACAACTGGTAAACTCCCGTGGTAATAATGACCATGAGAGCTAACAACTTGGCGTACGTGAAAATGTCTTGCACGCGTGTTGCCCACTTAACGTCCCAGCAGTTGATAAACGTCAATAACACTGAAAAAAAAAAACAAAAAAGTAATAATGGAAAAACAAGAATTTAGACACGGGTGAGTATTTTCGACAGGTGTCATTGTATTGTATACTGTAGTTGTAGTCCGATCAAATATATATTTTTTATTTTTTTAGCCTTAGAAATTGTATTCCAATAACGATACGTATACAGCTTAACCTATCCAACGATACTGTTATTGAATACGTCATGCAGATAGATTTTATGACCATATATTATAGGTAGGTACATAATAGTATACCCACGTATATTTTTTCACTATAATGATGTTGTGTGTTTTAAATTTAATTTCTAAATAATGAAAATCAATTTTGAACTGTTATACGTTGTTTTCATATGTAAATTGTATACTTCATATTAAAGTGCAATGTGAAACATTCATTAATTAATCGTTATAAATCACTGGAAGTTGAAATTTGAAAATCGATTACCTATTATACATGTCGGTGACAGACGCATAGAGGACAATATTATAACACAATACTATAAATATTGTTCAATAATTATTATAATTATATACTATAATATTATAGGAGGAAATTTTGTGTTCTGAATGCAATGCTCGGAACCTTCAAAACTCAAAAGTTGTGTCCATGTTCAATTAAAATAAATGTAATCATGATTTATATTATGTCGTCATCGAAATATTAATTATCTATGAAATCGAAAACAATTTTATATGCCACTTGTATGACGTTCGTGACACGTATAAATGCACAATAATAATTGTCCTAAAAAAATGATTTCCTTGAACACGAAATAATATAATATATTGTAAAACCAGTAGCCTGAAAACGTCTGTTATAAATTTAATCAACAACGTCTGAGATATCGTTTTATATTCAGTTTCTGCTATGATTCCTCAACAGCTATATCAAAAATAAACTACAATATACATTTCCACGGTAAAAATAACGGTCTTATTGATTTCAGGAGAAAACTTTATTTGTTCTTCGAGATAACTCTCCTACGCATTACTCCGTTTAATTGAAATCATGAAATAACACTGTCCTTTAAAAACTACTTTTATTTCAAATGTTTTCCGTGCGTTCTTACAGCGTTTTTTTTGCTTCATAATAAATAGATAACACTAATACCTATGCTATCTGGATTAAATTATCACGAAAAAAGAAAATCCATTTCACCATAAATTCGAGTACTATACGAATAAAATAAGAAGCTAAATGAATTCATGATCAATACAATAAAAAATATTAAAAGTAAATAAAAATAAATATATTTTATACCTAAAATAAGTTCTCTTCCTAAAACTCAAAATATATTTAAAAGTGAACGAGATTGTATTATATATTTTAATAATAATGCTCAATAAATAAACAATGAATAAACAAAAAATATATGTATATTATTATTACCTCTTTATTATTTAGTGATAAAAAATGCAATATCAGAATTATATTGGCTTCGTTAGTCCCTTAAAATTTTAACTATACATTTTTTTTGTTTATTTTTCGTTCTTTTGTAAGGTACACCGTACAATTTAGGTTTTTTTATGAAAAGGTATTAACATTTTTTATTTTTACTTAATTTTTTTCTGATATTTCTATAAATCCAAATTAAACATAACTTGTGCTTATTAAAAAATAAAATAACTTTACAGGTCAAACAAATGCTACACAAGAAAAAAAAGGTATTAATATTCTGTTATTTGGATTCGGTACCGGAGCACATTTTCTCAATTCTTCTGTTTGCTTGAGGCGCTCTGCCAGTATAAGCTTATCAAACCGATAGAGTTACATCATAAGTTACCCAAATTGGTGGATCTTTTAATTTGATTATTTATTATGTATGTTAACATTTTTTCAAACAAGAAAAGGCTTCAAAACTTCAATGTACATTGTTTATAGTAACATTTGTCCGTTGAATATTATTACACTATAGGTACATCGTATATTCCATAGGTTTAATAAATAAGTAGTCAGATCTACGTGAAAATTACACAATATAGCTAATAAATATCTACGATAAATACATTTTGCATTTATGAAGCCAATTTATTTCTGTTAACTTTGTTGTTGATTTAAAAAATGTCTAATTTAGGTTTAATGCACATATTTTGTTTGGGACCGTTTATATATCTATCAGAATTTAATAATTATGTGTAGTTCTTATTAACATTTTCGTATGCAGATACAATATGATACAATAAATCAAATTATATTTAGTAGGTATAGTTATTAAAATATATTTACCCATCTATAATGATTATGGTATGCTCTATAGTAATTCATTTTTAATCTTGTTACAGAGTTTTATTCGAATTTAATTAAACCCGAATCGAAATTCTTGTAACACTATTAACGTGATATGAATATCAAGGTAAAAATGAATTAAGAAACTACATTTATTAAAACTTTACAGTTTTTATAGGTTACACAAAAAAAAATAAATATAATATATATAATTTTAACAAAAAAAAAAAATGATGGACTTCAAATAAGCTTTCACTGCCTGTAAAAACAATTAAAGTGTTATGTGTTACATGTGTGCCATTAAAATGCGATGAAGGTATTTTCCATCTCAATCTATGCTTTAAACGAAATTTTAAATGATTATTTCACTTGAGCGGTGTGTATGAGTGATCATCGCCACGCAGAAAGATTCCTCCACGTGCGAGAGCCGAAATAGATACGTACAATTTAAATCTATTTTACATGTAGAAATATAATGTGATTTCGATCTCTCTATAAAATAATTTTGTTTCTTATTGTTACGGTGTCGTAAATATTCGTATTCACACTATTGTCGTATAATATGTATTTATTATTGTTTAGGTTATGTCTTCTCCACCACGAATTATTCACGAATATTGCAGTTAACAAGGTGTTTCCTTTCTGACTATTAAAAGGATCATAAATATGAATTTATAAAGAGTGTATAATATATTACTTGGCCTATATTCTGCCGTTATTAATAATATATTTTTTTCGTTTAATGATTTCAAATAATAATACAAAATAATATAATAGAACACTATATAATATTATGTATCAGTTATCGAGTAGTTCACAAATGATATATTTATCACGTTCAACACTATCTGTATATAGTCATAACTGCATACAATATTATAATGTGTTATTATATTTACGTAAGACACGAAAATAAATAATAATTGAAACGAAAAAATTAATCGAAAGTAGATTTAAAAATTCGTCGTTGTTTTGAGGTTGTAGTGATGGTATACATATTATACCGAGAGATGTGCGCATAACATCTGGTGGGAGGCTGTGGGCGAAAGTTTCATTGATTTTTCCCGAGCTCCCGGTGGAACGGTAGCAGTGTCCACGACTCCACGTGGAAATTCCCATTGGAGAAAACCGCGCACGCGGTTCTTACTAACTTCCGGAATGGAATATTCTTAAATAAATTATACATGAGCTATTCAGATTTAAGTGCAGATTAAAAAAATAACAAACTTTTGCAGCTTAAAAAAATTAAATATTATGGTTGTACGGAGTTCATTGATCGGTGAGTTTCACCATCAGCTAGTATTAAATATATCAATATTTTTAGTTTATTTTTATATTGTTATCATCGTTATAATTGTGAATCGTTTTAGTAGAATATAACTGTGCACTATTTAAAGACTCCAAAGTTTTCTAGTTTAAAATTTAAAATAATTTAGGAGCGAATTTTCTTATCGGTTTCAAAAAAATTCTAACAATGTCCAATATGTCTGAAGGATTCACTTTTTTATTTAATAATGATTAGTCTCTTAATACAATAGTCAATAACTTATCAACTATCATAATAATTAAAATTTAAAAATTAAAATTAATAATTGTGCAAATTGCAGTACAGTTCCAGCTAAACTCGTAAATAAATAATTTAAAAACAGAATTTTTATTGGGAAGCCAATTATTAATGATAAATACCTACATAACAATAGTTTTTATTTATTATTTACATATATTTTAAATGAAGTTTGAATTCATTTTAAATCAGATAGTTAGTCCATAATTTGTTATTGGTAACTTCTCATTGTTTAAACTTTGATTTCCTTTAACATAATATTATTACATGCGTTTGTCGGGTCAACAGCAAAGAGGTGCAGTATACACTGTCTAAAAGTTTACTGGATAGTTTGTTGTTCTCTCAGTTTATTTTAAAATTCATATAACATGATGAAATCGGAGGTAAAATTTGCGAAATCACACTAAAATAAAATAAATTGACATACTGATTTATGACGTGAAATGTACTTCCGATAAGCACCGGACGAGAAGCACACAACTTCAAAAAATTAACGATCGTTAGCTTAAATTTTAATTGTATAAGTATTCCCGTAATTTATAGGCAACGTAATATGATCGCAATTTCAAGAAAACAAATCTAGTAAAAATAACAATTTGTGTTTGTTTTTGCTAATTTATTGCTATGAGTATACGAATAAAACTATACGTTTCTCTAAAATATTTTAATATGAACATTCGCAATATTATATGATGCCAATGTATGTCATTCTACAAGATGTATTTTCAAAGTCAGGACGATTTTACAAGTTCTGTATCGAAAACAATCTGTTCTGTATTTAAAATGATCAAATTTGTGGACATTTTTTTAGAAATGGCTGAAAAATTAAATTCCAAAATGTATCACCTAAGTACTATATATTATCGACATGAGTACAAGCTAAAGCTAAACTAATTTTAATAATCATATATCCTAGTACAATTCGTACTGAGTTCACACATTTCGGACTACATCTTTTGGAAGTTACATTTAGATCAACCTATTTAAACAATTAGATTCAATTCAGCAGCTGCAGGTTTCTAGCATGACTATACGGTTTTGTTATTTATCTACTGATTTAAGTTGTTATTCAGTAACGTTAAAAGTTTTAAAAAAATCTGTTTTTATTTTTTTACCACGAACAGTATAGATTTCAAATACGGTCAGTGTGAATTCTGCAGTCATGTCGTTTAGCTGTTGAAACTAAACTACGAAAAAAAGAACGTGAAAGTAAAACATAGCTATAAGATTATTTTATTTTTCGAGGATTAAAAACGGTTAAAAAAGTACATCCGGCAAAAGAAATAAGAGTTCTGAAAACAGCATAACAAATACAACATACAATGTACACAATAGGCTCAGCAACAACGAATATTTACATTTTTTTATTAAATAATACATATTTTATTATTTACTTAAACTATTATTTTGTTTTTAAGAATTTTAAGATCTATGAATACTTTAAATGTGTGCCTCAATGATTCAATCTCATTACACACATTATCTCTTTTTATGTTTAACCTTGAAGCCTTATATTTTCCCATTATCGTCAATAGGTTTTTATGTATTCGCTATTATTTTATTATGTCAGTCCGTTGAGCCAATTCGGCGAATAGATTTGTTAGAAATAAGATGGCAAATTATAAAATTTAAAACCAATGATAAATAATCGTATTAAAAATACCCATTACAATTCATTTTTCAAATCACATTATACAATGAATTCAAAACAGATGAAAAATAATCACATGGTATTATTATTTTTTTAAATTGAGTTAACATAACAAAATCATTTTCAAAACAAAATTCTCGAAATTATTAAAAACAATTTGAAAATAATCTATACACAATAACAATAATACTCAGTTATTATAAGAAAGTGCACTTTGTATGGTTTCATATTCAAAGACTACTGCAACTAATGTCCGTAAAATTAAAGGTAAAAAATATATATAACTCGATTAAAAAAAAGGGGAGAGAAGTAGAGAAAAGCAAAAAAAAAAACATTAACTTTGGACTTTAATTTTTTTCTTCGATGGTGCACAATTGGTATCGTCCACACAATACACATGAATAAAGTATTCTCTGATTAAGTCCCCGAAATGTCTAATAATTGCACACAAATAAAAATAGTAAAAAATACCTGATATTGTGCAGTTATAGCAAATTGATTTTTAGCTGCAATACAATTTGGACAGTCGCAGTAGTAGTTTTTTTACACCAACTTTTACTGACCAACGACCACTATATTCGCTATTAGGCTTATATTATATACGAAGATCGACGGTCGATATATCTACCTATTACCTCATACCTATCCAAAATAGTTCACTTACACTTAGATATATATATATATATATATATACTATAGCTACCTATGCAACAAGCGGCCAGCAGTCGTGTCGACTCTTCGGGAGGATCGCAGTCGGTGTACATGGGTTTCAGCACGTACAGGCTAAACGTGAGGGCGACGATGGCTTGCGAACAAGGTCGGACGATCATGCACTCCACCCACAGCCGCATAAAAGCTATAAACGGGCCAAACGTCTCCATGATGTACGCATAGTCGGCCCCGGACTTGGATATCATGCATCCCAGTTCAGCGTAACAGTAGGCGCCGACCTGTGGAACAATAATTTATAGGTATAAGTCTGCCGACGGCGAAGACTCGATAAGGTTTAATAATAAGGCTGTGACTAGTTTAATTGTGCTGTTATAGGTGGTGTCTGTGGTCACACGAACGATTATTTAACGATTATTAAACGCCTATAACCGTTATAGGTATTTTAATGAATGTGCGAGCTCTAAATAACGTCCCTTAAACGTGATAATTGGTGGCCCGCGATTGATCCATTAAGTTTGAGTGAAATCTATCAATTTTGAATGCAACTCAGTGGTTTAAGACTGTCAAGAGGACTATATACATTTAATACCCGTAAGTAATAGGTATTGTCTCAGTGCAGTCTCGTCGCTGTCTCGGTGGCTTCGCCGTAGCCTATTTGATTGGCGACGTAGCAAAGTAATTCCAATGAGCGAAATCAAAAAAATCGTAAATGACGCGTCTACATATCGTCGACATCTGTATGGAATGCAAACACCTGTTGATTTCGTGAGGATAACGTTCTGGAGATAATGTCAATCGCCTGCAATCGCGGCGACGGTATAAGCACACGTTTCCTCAAACGTATTACTATTGTAAATTTGCAACGTCGTCGTTCGACATAATACTCGTATTTTATGCAAAGGATGTGATGGCCCTGTCTACCGTAAAATATATCCTCCACTTCAAGTTTGGTAACAGATGTTTAAACTCTTACATTATTACATCGATCACAAACGCCACAATTCAACGTTATTGCGTAGTGGACTTTCACAATATTGCTCGTTAGAATATATTGATGGATAACGTCCCTACGGGTACACGATACGGGTATCCTCTTAATGCATCAACCGTCATTACCTACGTCGAGTATACATTTTCAAAACCATCGACGTCACGTCACAGGTGCGGATTTGTACATTATTAGGGTGAGTGTAATTTATTATATGTGTATGAGAAATACTTATGCATACCTACTCAAGCGTATACTTCGATTTTCGAATTTCGACTAATTATTTGAAAGTAGGTTCCTGCCACATTAGTATCATCCATTGATCGACATTCGACCATGAAAACTGTTTTAAAATTAAAAAATCAACACGTTCTAAAATATTGCACTTCTTATCGCACTGTCTGCACAGTTTGCCGGTATCGACGTTAGTGCTTCTTCTCCTTTTATTCGTATGGATGTTTTGTTTGGGTAAAACAGATAATTCGTAAATTTTAACTATGGACATTGCATTTTGATGTATACTTGAATAAAAATTAATAATAATTAACAATAGTTGTAAATTGGACAGGTACTGTTTTTTATATTTCATATCACCGGACTACCGGAGTATCGAACTCTTCACCCTGTAATTTTTTTTAAAATTGTATTTTGCTGTACTGATGGCAGCAGCCATATTCCTATTTTCGTTTTTTACTTGCCTTAACGGCAACATAGGTAGTATATGTAATTTTTTTTTTGTACATCTCTATTCAACAATACTTTTCCGATGATGCATTATTATCTTTTATACCGGAGTTATCGGTGTGACAAAAAAAGTGCTTGCGTAATCCAAATTAATATATTATTTTAGATTCTAAACAATAAAGATAAAGATGATAATAATAATAATAAAAATCGATATATAAATTGGCCAACGAGTTCATAGAGGTATTCGGTATTTCGGTAAGTAGCGTTTTATTAATACTACCTAAGACTACTTAGATTTTCGGCAAGAGTACCATTGAACCAATGTATAACGACTAAACCACAGGTCTGAATTAATAATAAATTGCCTTGATGTAACGACAACATATAATAATAGATGTTTAAATATATGTATACATTATAGTAGCAACGCATTAAACTATATAAATTTAAAATGCAAAAGACAACTCGGAGAGCGATATTTTTGGAATTTTTTTATTTTGAAATTCGCAATGACTATGCATATACCTATATGGCTATATAATATATAATATATATATATTATACCAGGGATGGCGAACCTTTTTGTTCCAGCGTGTCAAATAAAAATGTTGGTTGAATTATGTTATTCCTGCGTTTCAACTAGTTCGATAACCCTTCAATTTTTTTTTCAAAAACTTTAATATTATCAAACTTACACATTCGTGTGTGTCACTAAAATATAGTGTGCGCGTGTCACTGTGTGACGCGCGTGTCATAGGTTCACCATCTCTGTATTGTACAGCGAACACCATTGTCGAAATAATATACTTTTATGATATTTCATACGTCTCATTCGTGATTTCCTCCTCCCAAACGTACTTTCGTCGTCACTGTACGAAAATCGTTGCGCGCAAGGAGCATCCATATTAAACGATAAACCTATAATGATATTATTCTTATATAATTCATGGTCAAAGGCAGGCAGATTTCTGGTGGCGTATACCTAGTGAGTTTTTCTTTTGTATTGGTCGTAAATAAATTTAACATCAGCAGCAAAAGTCATTAATAATATATAGTAACCAAGTGGGTTTGTTTAAATGTTAAAATCTTTATGTTTCTTAAAACCTAATAATAATTTATAGTTTTGTGTCATTTTTATATTTTCCTGTGGTTTCGCTGCACGTATTTTGAAATGGAGGAAATTCAAAATCATCCACAATAATAATAGCAATCATAATAGTTATCAAGTGGATACGTACCATAGAAAACACGCCCGACAAGACCCAGACGATCAGCGAAGCATTCACCGATCCAGTGTTTTCCAACACGCCCGTCGGCGATATGAATATGCCGGACCCGATGATGCTGCCCACGATGACGGTGACGCCGTTCAAAAGGCTCATTTTGGGTTTCAGTTCAATGCCGTCGTCTTCGGCTGGGGCCACGTCCGGCTCCACTTCCGATCCGTCTTCCTTCCGCTTCACGCCCATTTTTCTCGCTTGATTATTATCCTTTCTTTTTGCGGTTTTCGCGGTCGACGACTACACGTGGCTCTATACACCCAGAGGTTTTGGATCTGAAACGAAAAAGTTTTAACTATAGCGACGAGCTCGTTTAAGTATACACGTACTCATAATAATGTTTACGCTGACAAGCGATAATTATTTCAATAAGCAATTTCCATGTGGATTTACCTATAAATATATTATTTATAATAGGTATATATACTCTTGCGTCTCTGTATCATTGTGTATATAAAATTATGTATGGCTGGTAGTACAGTCATAAATTACAATATTAATATTGTATACATGCAGACGTACAGTGGGTACAATTTTATGTCGCCTACATAGTTATATTTGCGAATAACAAGTCGCGCGTCGTTGTTATTATATAGTTTAATGATACCATTTCTTTTTTACACTTCAACAAAGAAATGAAGTACGGTTACAATTTTACCAAGACAAGCTTCAACTTCACGTTTCAACTCGGTCACTAGGTTTATGTTTGAAAATTATATAAATGTTTCGAAAATGTCAACCTTTAATGAAATTTGATTGATTCAGTATTTGCCCATGACGCGCACAGTCTTATAAGTTATAAATGGCCTATAATTATACCAACGCTACATAAACAAAGTAAGTACATTTTTTAAGACAATTCCAATATCTTAATTAACTTTCTGACAAGCGCGTTAAACAAATGCTTAACTCGATTTTGTCTTAAAAAATATTTTATCCCACATAATCTAATTTTGTATACAATATAAAAGGTTTGGGAAATTAAGATAAAAAAAACATTAATCAAAGACAATACAAAAAGTGCCTAATACAATATGCGTTAGTTGCAAATATAATTATTGATATAGAAAAGATAATATGGTTTTCATAAGAATACATTAATGACGATGACGCACTAATCAATAATTATTTAATTATATATTCGAGTTATATGAACTATTCAGTATTCGTATACTTTTTATCTATTCTTTGACTCTCAGCTCTAGATTAATCGTTAACTTTTATATTTGCATATCGGCAACACTACCGTTTAATGACAAACGGTATGGAATACACTCACGAGAACGAGTAAACATTATGTATAATATACATATTATACAACTTTATTTAAAATATAAATAAATAAACAGACTCCTCATAAATAAATTAAATTACCTACAACGATATGTATAGGTACTTGTAACTTGAATTTATAAAATACTAGCAGATGTATTACTTTAAAACGAAGGTAATCTATACTGCTCAAAAATTACATTTTTTTTTTTTTGCTCGAGTTTTTATAATTTTCATTTTATTTTTGAAAATAATCCACTTTAAATTTCAAGTATTTGTATGAAAGTTAAAATAATTAATAAGAGATATATATAATGTTTTTTGGCTGCTTTTTAGAATCCGTTGAACATTTTCTTTATATTAAAGGTGCGAAAGACTACTGTTACACTTTTTGTGGGCTCATTCTTCAGTCGTAGAACAAATTATCTATACCGTCAAAATTTCGATTTATAGATGTTTGAAAAAGCAATATAATTAAGCTACTTAGGTCGTATAATCAATAATAATATATAAAACATAAATATCCAAAACCGAAAAGACAGTCTAAAGTTTATTGTTGCCTGTGTGATGGTTTTTAAATCACGAGTAAGGTGAGCATCCAAGCACATATAATACAGGGTGGTAGGGTGTTCCTAACTGAAGTGTTTGGGTGGAAACGAGTCCCATTGATATGTTTTAAAAAAATATTTTTTCGACACAGCCATGTATAAGTTTAATTTAAATATGGTTTTACAATGACCCCCTCCCATTAAAAAAGTTGTGTATACGTGTCATATCCGTGGGCTATGTGCGTGCACTGGGCTTGAATGTAATAATGGTATGAATAGATTTTTATTATTATTTCCAGTAGGTATACAACAAATTTAATTATAGTAAGTCTATAACACACCTCATCAAATTGCAGACCCCTGTAATAAATGTTTTCGAGAGCCCTTTCGCCCTATACAAAAGTTTCATTAAAATAGTCTCATACACGATTTCTAGGTAATCGCAATGGTTAAAATAACAGAATGACTTAAAATAATATTGTAATATACATTTATATCATAAAATATTATTTAATATAAAATCAGTATTCCCAATAAAATTAAAAAAATTATAAATTCATTTTAACTGTTCCCTAAAATAGCCGGGTACCTATAATCCAGGTCCAACCCTCCCCTCCCACCTCCCCCCCTACCATTGTTGGTGCTCTGAACACTACATTCAACCGATAAACAAATAACGATCACCGATGTAGTTGGGCGCATGTAAATTCCGCCCGAAAATGGCAAATTCCGCCCAAAAATGTTATGTATTTTTCAATAGCACACAGTACAATAGAAAATTTAAAATTGTCTTACACCAAAAGTATATTGCCACATTCTGATTCGATGAATTGAGGTGCCATTATAAGTATGTGCGTATAGGACTCAAGAACGTGTACTGAACATAAACACTTTATAATTCTAAACGAAACTCAGCTGATTCAAACGATTAATAATATTTCTATCTTACATTTCCAATTATTAAGTCCACGATATTGTAATAAAAGGTGATAAGATATGACATGATTGACGATTGTTCTTGTCTCCTTGTTTGACTTCCAAAGTTCCAAATACTATATAACATGCCGCGTAGCGAACAGTACGGTAACGGAAACGCTTAGTTTAAAAATATTTATTTTTCTGGGCTGAATTTACACACACATTTTTGTACCTGCACATTTTTTCGGGCGGAATTTACCATAGACCTTATTTTTTCCTGTTCATTTCGGGTGGAATTTACAATCTCCCATGTAGTTAATATAATGTAGTGTACAAGAATAAATTCAGCAGACCATCGACTGCTCAGTGATGCAGTCCTATATAACAATGTATAATATCATTATATCGCCTCCAACCGTCGTGGTACGCATATCAAATAAAGTTTTATGAAATAATTTATAATTTATTGGCCAAGTCTTGAAAAACGATCACACTATTGCAGTAGTGGCTATGTATATATATATATATATTATATACTACATAGTAAATCATATATGCGTATACCACATAAATATAAATAATACATATAACAATAATGATATAATAATACGTGTTTCGTAACTACTTACTATGTCATCGTGAGATGGAAACAAAAAATGTATTAAAAAAAATAACGGCGTGCAAAAAAATTTGAAGGCGTCGTCTCGTCTGCCGCTCAACGATCCGGTTACTGAGCAACGCTACTACTCCCGGTCTCCGTCTATCCTGTGACGCCCGACCGCGGCGTTTGCATATGCGCGTGTCTGCGCGTGCGCGCGCGCACGCCCGAGCCTTTTTCTCTTCATGTGTGCGGTGTGTGTGTGTGCACATCAGGATATTGCCAATTCGCAGGCGCGATCCCTTCGAACACATAATGGCGCGCGAACGGCCACGGCGATGAGCAGATGAGTTATTCAATTTCACGCCGAACTGCAGCCGCGCAGGAAGAGAATATATGAGCGGACTGACGCGAACGCTCGACGGTATGATATACGTAATACAATAATATACTCAATTGAGACATGGTGCGAGCACAGACGAACACTACACCGTGGCCGTGTCTGTCTTCAATTTTTTTTTTTTTGTCCGTGGCGAGGAGAGGGGGTCGAATCGATAGCAAAAATGACATAAAACTTGTGCTTTGAGTGTATCTGTATATGTATAACTGATGATCACGATAATCGTTCATAGACTTATTTTAAGAATTTATTGAGAAGTTTTTTCAAACTTTTTCAAAAAAATTCCGGGGGGTGAACCCTGACCCTCCCCCCCTCCTACTATACGGCAACGGCTCGTACACACAAATCTGTATATGTATCGGGGGAGGGGGGGCATATACGATAGGAGGTTATACGATTTTATAATATGAAGAAATCGCAGAAACATGTCTTTTGTTTACACCCAGTATTACGTGTATCGCAGCAAGTACTTACAACATTATTATGTTAGTTTTGATTGGAAAGTTAGTAATTCATGACCATTCTAAAATATGAAATGCGAATATTCTATAGCAATTTTTTTTAATGTAATTCACGACGACTAATGCAAATAATTCCAATGGCAAACACGGACAGTGGACGGTATTAAATCGTCGCCGGGTTATAGGTAAAATCATAAATTACCATATTGTGTACGGTTTTTAATTAATAACAATAGGTACTATTATAGTGACGACATAATCGTGTGACTGTATTTAACATAATATTATCGCTTTTGAAAAATGTGCAGCCGTTTACTAAATTATACAGCTGTGACTTGTAAGAAGTGTAAATGTTTCAAACAGACTATTATTTAAACACTGTTTTTAGGTTCGCAGGTACATCTGATTTTAATCTATTTCGTGAGTATACCTATTACCTACGTGACTATACATGCCTACAAAGTTTGTCGATAATACTCATCGAGAAATACTTAATATTTGAATTACAGACTGTCGGTATAAATGTATAAAAGGTACTATAAACGTATACTTAAACTATGGTATATATAAAGTATTCACCAACATACGTTCCATTTATTTTGGTAAGTAATAAAATATTTACAATCTATATATAACATAATAAATTATGCATAATAAGTAGAAAATATTATTGCAACTTGATAAGGGTTGACCAGTTATAAATATAATATAATTTTGGAGAATCGTGGGTCCTTTGTGGTCTGTAGAAATACCCAATTACCGCAGTTGGGGCAGATATAGAGATAAAAAGGATCTTGAACATTATATTTAAACAATCACGACTCAATTTCCGTTATTATTACCTAGGTTTTAAATACTTACAAACTACAAAACTTACAAAGTAAGTAAATCAAGGTTTACAATAGACCTTACCTACAATTAATTATCAATAAATTTATGTTTATTTTATTGATTAGCAGTTAGTATAGTCGTCTTTCTAGTATATGTCTATATAGAATTAATGTAAAGGTCTTATAATATATACCTACATCTATTATCGCACATAAATATATTATTTTATAGATTAAATAAGTACACTTAAATTTATATACAACTTAAGGGGGACCCAGGAGAATCTACCCTCGTTGGGCAACTGACAAGTAACAGGTGTCATATTGAAAGATTTGTAAAAAGCTAATTCCGTTCTAAACTAATGACACTCCACTAAAATACAATTCGAATGTGCAAAAAAATGTGTAATGCCAGTTTTAAATCCTTGTGTGTATTAGTTTATTGAGAGAATTTTCATAAGTTGCTGCATTAATCAATGATAACCTATCATACTCATTATATAATTTTCATAAAACACAATATTATTGTATTATTTTTCTCCCGTGTACAAAGAATAATGGTTAATAATAGTAATAAATAATTATAATAGTTCAGTAAGTTGTATTTTTTAGTACGTTTTTTTAATTATTTAATAACAACTAATAAACATGGTTATAATAGTAAATCAATTGTTACTATATTATAACTGATTCAGCATACTATATTTTTCTTCCTAATCCTAGAGTAACGTATTTATCAAAATTGTTTGGAATTTAATTTTCCACGCAAGTCGTTTATGGTTCTTGCAGTTAACGCGACAGTGTTTTCGTCTGATATCACCTCGCCGAAGGGTGTTTTCTAAGCTTTCTCTCCCCGGGAGGCTTCAACACCACTGACTTAAGTAATTCTGTTGTAATGGGAATAATAGGGTAGATTTTTTGCGCTGTCACATTCTGCCCAGCAACCGAGCTCATCGAATTATCAGCAGTCACCATGGGTGGCGGCGGTGGAGGCTCTCGAACGATGGACACCGTTGGTGCCGAAGGAGGAGGTAGTGGAGGCGGTGGTCCTTGTACTTTAGACACCATGTTCGCTGAGTTTTTCAACACTTCTTCTATGTACACTAACGTGTCAACAAAAATATTATGGTCAATATTATTTTATACAGCATATAAATAATAGTACCAGGTGACCATCTCTGGTTCAAGTTTCTGAACATTTATACTTACATTAATTATTTGTTAACGTTAAATTATAATTTGGCTATTAAACTCAAATTAAATGTGCATTACATTATAGATCAAAATACCTCAAAGTGAAAAAAAATGAAAATAGTAGTGGTCTTGAGGGTGACCACACGAATTATGTTACTGGACATTTTAAGCATAACTAAAAAAACGTAAATTTTCTCAGAAAATAATCTTCAGCGATTAATTTCCTGCAACAAACAACCCCCAGATACGAAATACTGACAAAATCCTTGAAAACGTTTTCGATAAAAAAAAATGTTTAGGCAGTAGATACGCACTCTATTATTAATTGTCTATTAATTTGTAGTATAGGTTATAATGTTATATATGAATATTACTTTTGAGGACTTCGATCCTAGTTATTATATCCTTGTACTCTCGAAACGGTTTTTTATCGTTTCCTGTACGAAAAAATAAAGAGTGTTGTTTAAAAAATACTTATTACTTGACGCTTAAAGAATGAAAATTACTATTTATTACTTTCTGTGGACTTTATTTGAGTTTTGATTTTGTTGAAGTTCAAGTTCAGCGTTTTCTGAAAAAAATAAAAATAAAATAAAAATAAAAATAATAATAAAAAATTTTTTATCTGAGACATATTTTTTATTACTGCGTTCCTACATACGTACAAAAATAAACATAGTTTATAAGTAACCGTAATATTTTTTATTTTTTTTATTCATTAATATATTAATATATTTCACACACTTTGTTCTATATTTTATATCGTACTCAGGAGCACAATTTCGATGAAAAAATTAGGGGTGCTGAAGCCCCTATATTTGTTTTCATATTATCTTATGGTTATGAATACCCATATAATGATTATTAAAATGTGAATTAACATAAAAACTGGCGGTGCTGAGAGCAACACCCCCCTCCCCTCAAAAAAAAAATTGGGCCTATGATCGTATCTATTACTACTATAATAATTGTATGCTTTGTTTTTAATAAAGTTATATTAAGACATATCGGATAACATTACCTTTGAATCCAAATTTCCTTTAATTCTATGAACCTTCCGAACTGTACGATTCTCTAAGTGAATGCACTTACACTTAAAAATAAACACTACGATTACGCTTGAAACGCCTAACGAAAATCCGAGCAATAACTCAAATAAATTCATTTTTGATTAAGTACTTATATGCGTAAACAATTGGCAATATGAATCAAACTGAAATATTTTTCAATAAATAAAATTTGTTTGTTCGTAGTCCACAGAGATTTGAATCCATTTATAAAATTATTATGTTAATCATGTGTTGTGTTCAAACCAGATATTACAATAACGGCGTAAATAATATACACTACATGTTATAGACTTATAGTATTATTATAGTACATATAATATATTATTCTTACAATACGTACCTAACACGATATTATCTATATATCGTACCTTAATATTTTGATATTGAACGTGCCCCGCACACAGGTAGTTAAGATACATGATTTTAATAATAATTATTATAATTATTGTTGTCGTTGTGGTTCATATTAAAGAAGTACGGGTTTTCCGATACGTCGCGCAGTACACAGGTGTAACACTAGTGGCGGAACGTAAAGATTACTAGGGCAGTAATCACTATAATTTTATCTTTTGAGAAATTAAACATGCGATTTTCAACAACATTTTTTGAAAAGTTTTATCTTTAGCTATTATATTATATTGTTATGTTTATCGACAAGCAAATATCTTTTTTAGATTTTTTTTAAATATCGTATAAAATGTTAAATGATGGGCAAATGGATACCAATAAACACTAATGACAAATCATGAGGAATCTTGGATTAAACCTTCAAGTTACTAAGTTATATACAGGGTGATCCAACAAGTATGCTCACCCCCTTTTTTTCTTTAATAATGAAGATTTTCAAAATCTGATTTTTGGAATCTTTAAATATACTCAAAGACCATATTTTCATATTTTTGAGATTTTTATACCACTTAAGGAGTGTTCTGTGGCGATACAATTTTTTGTTTCTTAAATGGGAACCCCACTTTTTTACTGTAAATTATTTAGCGGATAATTTTTTTGAGAATTTTGATGTATTGAAATCAAAATTCGAACTAGTAGTTTTCTATTTATTACACATTTTGTGCTAAGGATAATATAGTTTATAGTAGGGAAGAAGGATATGCTTATACAGTATACGTTGTCATCTATAGTCTATACACATAATATAAAATAATACGTCATTTTATATTTATTTAGTCAAACACTTAGGTAAGTAACAAGTAAAACCCTTCTTGATTTATTTAGTTATTTTTCTTATTCCATGTGTAGAACTGTATAAGCATATCCCTATTATGGACTATTATCCTTAGTAAACATTTTCCAATAACGAGGAAACCACTCGTTCGAATTTTGATTTCGATACATCAAAATTCTCAAAAAAATTATCCTCTAAATAATTTAAAGAAAAAAAGCGGGGTTCTCGTTTGAAAAACAAAGGTTCGTATCGCCACAGGACACTCCTTAAGTGGCACAAAAAATCTCAAGAATATGAAAATAAGGTCTTTGAGTATATTTAAAGATTCCAAAAACCAGATTTTGAAAAACTTCATTATTAAAGAAAAAAAGGGAGAGCATACTTGTTAGATCACCCTATACATGACAATAATTGAAAAAAAATCAAAAATGTCCCATGTTTATAAATAGATCATAAAAAGTCAAAATATTTTGAAATTTTGAAATTTAAAAAAATAAAATATTATATCATTGTTAGAGCTGTGATGTATTTAATTTGAATGTATTTATGAATTTCTATACATCAAAAAATTAACTATGAACTTAGTTTATTTCATCATGCTATGAGCTCATTGCGTGATATCTAATGTACCTATATGTTTGTATTTTTATTTGAATGGATTAAGTATTTAAGTCTTTACTATACCAAGTTTAATTTCGATTAAATATTTTTATGTCTTGATACGATACTTATATAAAATATATAACTTTCGTCAGTTGCATCCAGTGGATGCAGTGGAGCGGCGAACTTGATATTTTCATGCAGAGGATGATAATATTTCACCCACAATGATGCAGCACCAATGACCCGATAAAATTCACTATCATATTTATAACCATCTATCGTAGTTATTATTAAAATAATATAATTACTATATACTAAATTATCGATTATTGGCCATTTCCCATCCAAAAATAGGTTATTAATTAGTAATTGCACACATGTGTTAAATTTTAATTTAACAATAAATCAACTCATATGAAAAAAACATAGCTTACTACTTAAGTTTTGAATAGTTTTACTATATTTTAATAATAATTCCTCTAAATTGTATACTATCATCTAAAAGTAGTCTAAACATTGTAACTACTCTAATCCAAAAATTATTTTTTTTTACGTTTTGTTATAATTTGAACATTTTATTTAGACTTACCCCTCGTCGTCTTATCGATGTTTGGTTCCACTTAGATCTTCTTGTATTTAACTGTTTACATAATATGTATCCTATGCAACTGTCATATTATGCTCCGTTCGCTGAGAGAATGTGGTTACTTTGATTGGGGCCGAGAAGTGTTAATTTGGGTGGTGGCGGCGGGGTACGAGTGGTACGACTTGCTCTTAACAAACTCTTTATCTTGATTATCTCTCGGAGTACGAGTATATTTACGATGAGCTAAAATAGTAAAATGTAATATGGAAAATAATGAATACTGCAGTAATGTACCTATTTTGCCTGAACAATACGCCGTTCTACATATTGCACGAATTATGGCGTACAATTTATGTACTATTTAAATTATACACCTCATCAGTATTTACTAAGATAATCGATAACCTAACCTGATAGGCATTAAATATTTTATTTTATTTTTGATTCTAATATAATAATAAACTAAAAAAAGTATACATATAAATTGGTTGTTATCAAGACTCGACGTTAGATTTAAAATATTATAAGAACTAAAAAAATCTACGGAAAGAGGTCTAGGAGTTCCCAATACAGTAGGGTTCATTTCAGGATCTGGACTAACCATAATATGACACACTCAAGTATGATATAGATTATAGACAATATAAAATCACTACCGTTGAAAATCCAAAAATTATGGAATAAATTGATCATGATCGAAATAAAATAATATATCTAAGGGCCTTTTAAACGAAGTTCGTGATTCCATGTAGCGAGAATAAGAGGCCCTGTATTTGATACTCCTCCCTCGCTTAACCTAACCAAACGATTATTTTAATAATAATAAAATGTTAACAATTATTCATACTTTAGATTCTGAGCGGAGCAATGAATGTATTGATTTTACAATTAACCGTTTTTTTTTGTTTGTTTTCACACCTTTTGAGCAGTAAAAATGATTCAGTTTTCCACCTTGAAGGTGGTTTCTACTTTATGGTAGTGAATTGGATCTAATTGGTACTTGAAGGGGCCCAAAAATTCCTAATATTTTTTTTAAGTACCCGGAGAACTAAAAAAAAATATGGAAAAATTTGAATTTTTATGCAAGACCAAGGTTTTGACAAAATCAATATTGTTTTTTTGTTGCAATTCAAAAGCTAAAAACGACAAATTTGTAACACATTTTTATCTTATAATTGTCTTTACAAGATAAAATGTTCAAAATATTTCAATTCTGTAAGAGAAAAAAAGCACTTCAAATTCAAATTTGGCAAAATCAAGAACATTTGTTAATTTTTTATAATTTAAAATTATTACTAATTATTGAACATTTATTACAAGGTTTCAGGTAGTTAATACATAACATAGCCATAAAATCTAAAAACATGTATAAACACAATTTTTAACTCAAATTTGAACAAAATTAAGATATTTTAACAAATTTAGTTTTGTTGTAATTTAAAAATGATATACATGGTAGATTTTTCAACTATTTAAGGTACATTATTATATTTTAAATATACAAATACACAATGACATTTTGTAATTTCTATTTATTTTGAAAAGTGCTGGGAATAGTTGTGTTTCTAAAATATGAATCCTTTTTCAATACTTGTTGTACTATTCAACCTAAAGCGTTAGGTACTATTCAAACTAAATTCTTACTTTTAAGCCCTCTAAACATTTTCAACAAATGTTCAACTTTGATACTTATTTACAAGTGTGTATGTGCTTTAATGATGTACATTTTAAAAGGTATATAGTGAATGAACTATTAGAGATAAAGCTCTTAAACTCTTCACTGCACTTCCCCTAGCCAGTGTGATTCTAACAGCCTTAACAGCCTAAACAACAAAGCTGTTATATGGTTTCAGAAGTTTCTGTTGCTAAAGAAAAATATAGCTAAGACTTTTTAACAATTAAAAAGTCAATATAATTTTGTAAATTTCACATTATGACGTATGTATTAAGCAAGCTCTTTTTAACTAGCCTTCCAATAACTTACCAGCTCTCATAATTTAAGTGAAAGTTTAAAAAAAATAGAGGTTTCGAGGCTAAATACAATGTTTTTCTGGATTAAAAACATTACACATGATATCATCCATCTCATTTATATCTTATACTAAAGCTACCTTCTTACTCATAATCACAGCACAGTTGATGCAATGTGCACACATTTGAGTACATGACGCATTGAGGTTTAAAGATACCTGAAATTATTTTCCTATCCATTTATTATCTAGGTACCCAGTAAAAAAATAATTGTGTGATGCGCAAGTCCAGAGGCCGCCATGGACAAGGGTTTAGTCAGCAAATTATGCCCATATTTGCTCTTCTAAGTGTGAAACTGACTTTAAATGTATGTTTTTAATAGTTCAGACTTTAGGTAGTACTGATGGCAGTAAGGAATTGGAATATTTTTCTTAAACTAGTAATTTTACTCAGTACCTCTAGAACGTTGACAAATAATGTAAAAATAAATGAATAAACTTAGGTAACCATTACAAATATTATGGAAAATAAATAGTTATTACATATTTTTACAAGAGAACCTTCTTTAGCACAGATCCTATGTACAACAAACATAGTCTATTGTGCTTTAATTTAAAATCAATACTTGAATTTATAACTGTATAAAATATTTATTTTTAATTATAAAATAATCACAAAGTTCAAACCACTTTACAATAAAAAACAGAATTATCTTAAATACAATACACTTTATAAAATCAAAATCTTCTTATATTAAACAAATATGTACATGTAATAAAGGAAAACTATATTACTTTTTCTTTGTTTTGAGTACTGATCCAGATCCAGCAAATGGCTTAAATCCATCTTGATTTTCATTCTGAAATATCAAATAATAACTTTGTATTGGTACAATTTTTCATCAAAAAATAAATAGTTTATTTATTTATTCTATTGATAAGAAATATAGATTGTAGGTTATAACTTATAAGTATTAACATATTGTGGTTTGAGATATAGTAATTATTACCTCTTTGTCATTAATCACTGGACGGATGTTCCTTATGAACTGTATAGTTCCTAAGGTATAATCATAATCTGGAATACCTCTTTGGTATGCTGCTTTTACTTGATTCATTGAATCGTCAGTATTGTCTTTCTTTTTCTTACCATCTAATCTACTGCCTGAACCTTTGAATGCTATAAAACCAGATGGTTCTGGCATTAAATCAGCTGGATCAACCATTATCTCTTCTGCAGCAGGTTTTTTTTCATGCTTAGGCTCTTGATAACCAACTGGTGCAGCAAACTCAACATTCATATCACATTCAATGATACTAACAGCATTACCTGGCTTGGTTTCCAACACACACATTTCATAAACTTTTTGATTGTACTTAATGGCTATTACATCACCAGTTGTCAGACAAGCAAAATTACGCAAGCAATTTTCTAAAACTGCCTTTGGGTTGGTAATATCTAAGAATTCAGAATTCTGAGGTTGAAACTTTGAAAAGGTGGCTACTCTTAATCCAACACTTTCAACTTGCACCAAATCTCCTTCATCTAGTAACAGGTTTTTCATCATCTAAATAAAATACAATTGACAGATCACATGAGGATTACAAAAATAATAGAACAGATCTAGTTTGAATTCCAGACAAATTATCACCTTTTAAAAATGTAAAGTGTCTTTTAATAATTAAAATATCTTATAAATAAAGGTAATCACAATTTGAAATAATTCACAAGGCTGTTGAAAGTAGGTTGTTATTTCATTGTTTTTCCAAACATTTAAACCAATAAGCAGAAGAAAAGATATGTACTCTCAGAAGTCAAATTATAATTTTGAAAAAATATTTGAATTCTTCATTCTTTTTTCAAGGTTATGTAAGAAATGGATTTTTTTTAGTAACACTAAAATAAGGGTGAATTTTGAAGAAAAAAGAATATTCATTCGGTACTATACTAATTAAACATTACATACAAATTGAAAATCCATTTCCTACATAACCTAGAAAAGATAATAAGGAATTCAAATATGTTTTAAAAATTATAACTGATTTTTTGGTACTGGGTGAATTTTCTTCCGCTTTTTGGGACTTATGTGTTGAAAATTTTTTGAGCGCATAATAAAGTGACGTGTGACTATGTAGGGGTATGTAAGTTACTAATGTCCAAGAATCTTGGGCATACTTTATCTTTACTTACATACCGTGTTCATCAGTCACTACACACACAGCCATATATCACTCACAATAGTATAGAATATTGCCAAAATCCGACCCCGTAACAATAGTTCCCTTTAAACAGCCTTAATGCTAATACACAATTTTGAAAAAAATATTCTATTGAATAACTACTCATTTCAGACTTTGATTATATCAAACTATCATTTATAGTTTATTAATTTCTGTAATAATACCTACTATAATAGATATTTTTTGATATTATATTGATAGATAATAAGTTCTCATATATTTTTCTATAGGATTACCTTTGTTAATTAGATTTTTAAAATACATAGATTTAGTTTTAATCTACATACTCAAATAATTAAGGATTTATGATTTTATCAATGGGTGTAGGTTTAATATGAATTTATAAGAATTAACATTATGGGATCTCAACAAAATTTATGCTTGAAATAACATGAGATAAATCAATATTCAATACCCAATAAGGAATGTATATTTTTCCTTCGTCTGCGATAAACTCCAAAACACCACAGTGTGTTTGTCTGTTGCTTCTTTTGTTAGATAACCTGAACATCATTGGGTAGTGGATATTTAATCGAGTCAATGTGTCCAGAGCAGATGGGGGCATTATAACTGAAATAAGTGTTTTAAGCAAAAATATTACACTTTACACACAAATTGAATAAAGTTACTTACTTTTACCACCACTATCAATGTCTTCTCGTTCACTGCCAGGAAGCATTGACAATGACCAACATTTGTAAATTGTGTTGAACGGTTTGAGTAGATCATTGTACATATTCCGGGCAAACTGAAATATATTTTCATTAGTTCAAACGAGTTCTGACAAGTGACGGAAAGTTAGCAGCTCCCTTACCATTATATTTTCAAAGTTGAATTTTATGGACGTATTGTTACCGATTTCCAACCAAAGTAATTAATTGCTAAAATAAATGTTCAAGTGTAAATATGAAAGTATAATGTTTAAATGTTATTCGATAACATTAATCATTTTACACAATAACAATTAATGTGAATTATTGTGATTGTGGTGTATGACAAACATAAAATGACCATAGACATAAAAAAATCAAAATACAATAATTTTAAATTATAATGCAATGTCACAAAATGATAACAAAAAGATAGTAACCATGGTAACGACTATCGAGATAACTTTTTTGGGACAAATACTTTTGTAGAACGAAAGGTCATTGGAACATGTTGAGCCATGGAACAGATTGTCTCAATCACGGTCTTAAATAAGATCGTCGTGGTGGTGGTCATGGCTAAATAAGTTATTTAGCCATAGTGGTGGTGACCATGAATGTCGTTATCACAGTTAATAGGTCCTTGATATCGGAGAACAATATTTTCAAACATTTTGTATTCTCCCATGCCACGTTCGTTGATAACGTGAGCGGCGATAAACAAACGATTATCACGTGTTTCCTCTACATGTCTACGGTCAGACCTCTCTGAACGGAATTTGAATCGTCACATGTAGATTTACGTGTTCTGTTCAATTTAAAACTATTAACTTGGAAATGAAATCGTTTTGATTGTTGTATTTGAACTGTTGTAACCATGGCCAGTAAATCTGTTTTGGATCTTTTCACAAAAGTCATTAAAGCGCCGCACAATAGCCAACCGAAACTATGCATGCAACTGGTGAAACATTTGCAGCTCTTCAGTAACGAATCGGTAAGCCACGTTTATTGATTAATAGTTAGTTGAATCGTTAATTGTACATAATTATTGTTTTCAGTTGGATGAACAGCGTCAAAAAGAAGTATTTTATGTGTTAACGAGATTGGTACGTGGATTAGGGTCCCCAAAGACACAAGTCCGAACTGTTTACTATTCTATTTTGGTGGTTATTGTAAGCCATTTGACAGACAAGCCATGGTTCAATCTGGACAATTTTAAAAACGTTGTAGATAAGGAGTTGACCAAATATGATTCAAAAGCTGTAAGTACCTGTTGCAACATTGCCATCTTTGTTAAGTAAAAATAGTGATACTTAAGCTGATCTAAAATAGAACTGAGGATGGTTATTAATTTTTTAACTATTCCATTAAAAGGTTATGACTGGACAAAACAATATTTCTAGAAGTATAAATATTTACTTCTAAATAACTGTTCTTGTGTTTCGTATCCAAAAGCGTTTGGTTTATTTTTATGATAACCTGACCATAAGTTTACTCAATGTATAAGATATTTGATTGGCTTATTAAAATAGCAAATCAGTTTTGAATTAACATTTTATTTTACAGGAAGAGGGTGATGTCTTGTCTGGTAAAGTGTTATGTTATGGTGCTATGATACGTAGTGGAATATTTAGTGCTGGATCGATGGATACCCAAAAAGCTATCGTGGCTGAACTTTTGAGTAATATGAAAACAAGATCTTATTTACCCCTGTTGACATACAAGTTTTTAACTGAAGGAATTGATTCTGTAAGTGATTTGTATTTTAGTTATGCAAAAGAAAAGAATAACAATGGTGGTTTGTTTGTAATTATACATTGTTTTGTACTTTAGTCCAACAATGTTATGTTTTCGGAAATTATTTGGCCTTATTTAAAAAAGTACATTGGATTGCCTATTACAAAACAAACTTTGGATTCATTATATTGCATAATACAAGTGCATAGTCGGTATCCAAAATTAATCGATGGTGCATTTATTCCCAGAGTGTTAGAGACGGGTACTGAACTCTTATGTACTGAATCAATGAATGACATAGCAAAGATATTAATATTTGTAAGAATTAGAATTTTTGTTTTTTAAACATCGTCAAAATGTGTTTTTTACTAATAAATTTAATTGCTTGTATATCTAGCACATTTCCTCTGTGGAAGTACTTGAGCACCCTGTGTATGAAGCCTTTTCTATTGCATTAACATCTTCAAGCAATAGCGATTCACTTATTTCATCATTTTGGGGTGTTCTTCAACCACATTTCACGGGCCCACACAATCGCTATCAACAAATGGCAGCTATGAAACTGTGCACATATATTGTTAAGAATAGTTCCCTGAATAGTGTACATTCACTACTTTCTAATTGGTTTTTGGATATGTTATTAAAATCATTTACTCGTCCGAATGCCGATACACTTGTATCTTATTCCCGATTAAGCATATCAGCTGTAATGGACAGACTCAGCTCATCTGCCACACCCAATATTGCTTATAAGGTCTTATTGAAATTCATTCTACCTCCTGGGGATATGATGGTAGAAAAAATAACAGGTATTTTATTTTATCATTTTTTATCCTTAATATCAATATTTATATAACTATGTTTTTCTAGGTATTAAAATTGTTCAAAATTGTTTGATAAAAATGGATGAACAACACATTAAGCTTTTGGACAAACAATGCCATCAAGTTGTACTTATGAAAAAAAAAGGAAACAATGAAAAGGCACATTTCTGGAAGATTCAAGATCGTGGATACGCAGCTCAACTTCTTGCTAGGTACCTATACATATTTTAAAAACCATTAATTTTTTTTATTATTTATACGTTTGATATTATTTAGACTTTTAGGGCTTCAAATTAGTACTGATGTTATGTGGAAAATAGAACAATTAAAATTTATGTTAGAGCACGCCTTTTTTACAAATGCAACTGAAAAATATCATATAAGCCATGAGTTAGCAGGTGTGTTTCTTATTTATATTACCTAATAAACTATTTGTGGTAATGACTACATTTTACTCAATTCAACACATTTTTTTAGCTATCATTAGAGACTCATTTTTGAAAGCACTCAGCCACAAACAACCAAACATGGAAACACTTCGGATAACTTTATCTACGCTTGTTCATTATACAGATGAATTATTGAAAGACAGCCGTCAGCTTCGGCCTAAAACTTCAAAAGATGTATGTACTTAAATATATAAATATTTAAGAGAATGTCAGAGCACTTTTTATTTTCTTACTTTGGCCTATGCACAATATAACTTTAATACTAAAGGTAACTACTTAAAATTGGTGCAATTTTGTTAAATTGTACATGGATTAGAAATTTCACCAATTTTAGGTTGTTAGTTTTAGTATTAAATGGAGTTTACTTCTTATCAAACTTAGTATTTTATGAACATTATTGATGTTTGTATGTTGATTTCTACATTTTTTATGTTTTTATTCAAATTATGAGTAAATATTATTATAATTCAGTATTTCATGTCTCTAAAAACGTAAATTAAGCTAATATACAGGTGCACATCATTTTCTTAACTTTAAGATTGGTATAATAGATTAATTCATTCCAATATTAAATCTAAGAACACAGAAGAGGTTGATTTATTTAAACATGATTTTCTTTGTCAAATCATAGGATATGAATAGTTGGAAAAAGATGATCAAAACAACCAAAGACATTGAAAAAAAATTAAAGAAATGCGAAACAAAATCTAAAGAACAATCAATTCTTTTTGTTTTTCACACTTTGTTCTTGCAACTGGGAATTTATTTGTTTGTTGAACCATCAGTGGCCATTGACGCTCTACAAGTAAGGCAACGATTAGCAATTTCAATGTCTTAGTATTATAAGTTATAGATAAAGAAAATAAAGTTAAGGATTTTAATATTTTCAGGAATTACAAAATTGTTATGAACACCATACAAATGATAGTGAAAATGAAGAAAAAGATGAACTCAATTGGGTTGAAGTTGTAGTAGAGCTCATGTTGTCATTATTAGCTAGAGAGTCTTATTTATTAAGGCAATTGATTTCCCGTGTGTTTTCACATTTATGTTCAGAATTAACACCCCAGGCATCTCATCAAATTTTACAGGTATGTTGTTCATCATTATTCATTTGTTTGAATATACCTACTGCATGTTGTATGTTTAGGTTTTAAATCCTCAATATGATACTGCATCAAATTCAGTGGATGATAGTGATGAAGACTCTGATAGTGACAAAGAAGAAGATGATGATGATGATGATGATGATGATGTAGAAAATGGTGATAATGATGATGATGATGATGATGATGTAGAAAATGGTGATAATGAAACAAAGGTTAATGGCAATGGAATTAATGGTCATGGTTTAGATAATGAAGACGATGAAGAAACTGATGGCTCGGAAACTGATGAACAATCTAGTGACGACGATCAAGACAACACTGAACAGTTAAAATTGGCTTTACACAAGGCAATGATGTCTGCCAATCAGCATTCAGATGATGTAACCATATTATTTAAATACCAATAATTACCAAGTAAAACTTAAAAAATTTAAAAAATTTTAGGAGTCAGTTGATATTGATGATATGACCGAAGAAGATGGTAAAATAATGGACGATTTATTATCAGAAGCATTTAAAAGCTATAGAAAAAATTCAAACAAAAACCCTAAACATATTAAAGAGAAAATTAATTTTAGATTGAGGTATTTAATTTCAAAGATTACAAAATAATTTAATTTAAAATATCTAACTTGTATAGGGTTATGGATTTGGTGGATATATATTTGGATAATAATCCATCTTTATGTCTCATATTGGATACTATTCCAACATTGTTTGCATTATTGGAATATTGCATCAAGGATATTCAACAACGACCCCTGGAGACTCGAGTTCGATCAGCATTAAAAAAAATCAGTCAGATCAAAAAAATTAATGACACAGAAACTGTGGACGATGAATTAATCTCAATGGTTTTAAAAGTTTTAATGGATAAAGGTGTACGAAGTAAGTGTGTATGAGTATCTCAAAATTAATAAATTTAATTTAACACTTAATTGTATCTTCATTAGCTACACCTGTATTTTTGGATATAAGTACACACATAACACAGTGTTGCACATTCCTTGTAAAATCATATGTTCACATAATTTCTGGGTTGCCAAAAAAAAAACAAAAATCATCTAAAGTAATCAGCATTTTGGAGGATTCGCTTAAAGATTTCTTCACTAAAAGGTAATTAACTGAAAATGTTATGAGGATTAAAATTAACTGATTTGTTTTATGTACTTCAAACAGAGACTGTTTGTTGCCTGTATCCTTGTTTGAGTCGTTGCTGTCTAAAGTTCTATGGAAACGTAACATTAATTTAATTGAGTGTATTCTGCCATATGCCTTCAATGACTCAGTTAGATGGTTTAGACGATCACAAGCAATATGTATGTTAGTATCATTTTATCAAAACACGAGACTCTTGGAACAATTAAAGGATGACACTCAACTTGATGAGATAGAAAAGAATTTGTCTGATTATGTTATAAAAGTATGATTTATTAATAATAATATGATTAAATATGTTTTTGATAAAAAAATCTCAATTTTAGTTCTTCACTTTATTGGATGACAGTCAACCAGATGTGTCTGGTCGCCAGAGGTACATAAATGAATTGTTGAATATTTTGTGCATAATTAGTGGCAACAAATTCTCACATCATTGTTGCGATTGGGATCAACTCACACAGCTCTTAGAAAGATCTACTAGCAGATTCAATCAAGTGGGTCGGAAGAACTGGAATAAACTGCGGCAGGCTATTCAAAAAATTAATACTGCCAAGATAAAGTAATTTTATAAATACAATATTTGTATTATGTTTACCATAGTTAATATTACTTTTTTTCTACATTTCAGTGTTAAAAATAACCACTTGGATGACAATTTTAGCCCGAAGACACCTACTGGAAAAACACCTGTTAAAAGAAAATCATTAGTTGTGTCAAACAAAAAAATTAAAAAAATTAAAAATGTCAGCGATTAAAACAAGAAAATAACTTATTTGTTCTTAATGTATGCATTAAAAAAAAATAATAACCTGTCTTACTTGACTCTTTTAGGCAATTATGTTATTTGTTGAATAGCTTGAGGAATTCTATTGTTGATTATAATTTGTATAAACATGAAGTAACTAACTGTTAAATGTTATTGCAATAATAACTTCCCTTAATTACTTCCCAATAGACTTCATGATTTTCATTGTGTACAAGACAATCAATGACATTATTCTCCAACAATGTGTTCAAGTGAATAGAGTTATGTCTGCTAAGTTTTGAAACAAAATCAATAATTGGTCGAGCCTGTTTAGAGATTTGTTTCAGAATGTTCTTTTGTACAGTATGAAAAATGAATCATTATAATAGATTAGTATTATTTTTGTTTGTTCGTGTTGTGCAAAGTGTACTGAAATGAATAATATATTTTAAAAGTAAGTTATTAACGTTTTGTACTATATATTTGATAGTAAAGTATTTTTTTGATTTTATCTAACATCATGTCTTTTTTACTCTAAAAAATGTATTGATGAAATCGTTGTTATTATTAAAAGTACTGCGGTATATTTTCGTTTTAATATAGATGAATGTTTCTATGCAAATACATGCACTAAATAATGTTAACAATCAACATTAGGTTACAAAGATATCTACTTTGATAATTAACAACATTCTAAGAAGTACTACGAAAATTGTATTCTAAAATAGCTTATACCAACTAAAGTTATAAATGTATGATTAGACTATTAGAGGTATGCAGTAGGCTAACCTGGCCTAGAGATGATGGGGGGCCGTTTATTTATTTTTTCAGAAACTGAACTTCTTCAGTATTTTTAAAATAGTTTCATTATATTAAAACGAATTTTGAATGAGTAGGAAGTAAATAAGTACTAACTAATAAGTAGGGCACGAATTTAAATACCGATCAAAATCAAAAAAATGCTTTTATGATCTAAAAACTCTAAAAAAGAATCACGTGTTTCTTCAAAAATCAAGATAAATGTGTGAATTAGTTTATTTATAAAAATCAAATTACCTTGTGCAAAGTTAATGCCATACGTATTGCGTTTATTTCAATATTAGGTTTTTTTTTCGTAATATTACATAAATAGATTAAAAATTACCTATCTATAGAATAAAAAACTCTTAAAAATGCACTTAATCACCAAAAACCTCAACAAATTTAAAAAAACGACCCAAAAGCAGTTTGTTTCCAGCATAGTGTGTACTTACTGTTGATGTACTTAGAACAGTTTAACACATTTGTATCTTGGAAATCATTATGTCAAGTATTCAAAAAAAAAAAATACACTGAAATCCGATCAGCAGGTATTTGAGTTCAGAGTAAGTAGTAGGTAGGTATTCTACTAACGTTAGTCCACTAGTCACTACCTACTGACCACTCCACTCACCTAAAATCAAAATAGCTATTAAAGTTGCTAGTTATAGACTTAATCTAACAAAATATTTGTCTAATACATGGTATACATATACTGTTTTTCAAAAAAAGTAAAATTATATTGGGGAAATATTTTGCATATTCCGTTTATTAGATAATATACAACCTAAAAAAAGTAATTATTTTTAGAGAAAACTAGGTTCACCTTTAACATAGTCGCCAGTTTATGTTCCGATAGTCATAGTCCGATCATAGATACATGATATGTATCATATACATAATATTTTTTCATGAATTCATGAAATAAATAATAAGCAGGTAATTTTACATTTAGTATTTAAATATTTTATTATTAACTGGGTGTCTAGTTTAACGTGTATTCGTGTACGGTGTCGCCCATCGCAAATGAATAATAATGCCAGCGGATTTACTCTGCCTCCGGGTACTCCGGGTCTCCGTAGTTTAATGTCCAAGCTACACAATTTTTGAAGTCATTTTTAAGTGTTTTGAGCAAGTACAAAATACAGGTCTAAAATTATATCGAATTATCATAATAGGTAACTATTTCATTTTTTGTAACCAATGTCAACCAAACATAAAAATATTCGTTTCTCCTTGTTTAAAATGCAATATTTAAAAAACTAGCTCCTATATAGGTGTACTTTCTCGGATCTAGGACTACCAGACCATAATGTACCAACTTCAGAACCACGATTGCGAAAGACTTGGCCGTAGATCGCTTACACAGTTACACGGACTCTACGGACACATGCATTTATCTTTTATTAATATAGAATATAAATATTATAAATAAACTTATACACCTATGTAATATGTATTTAATTACCAATAACAAGTCATAGTGGTCATACCACAATAGTCATACACTCTACAGACGTTCATGTTTTTAAGTTTAAACTTTTAATAAAATATTCTACTTTACCACCGGTAGCGCTATAGCCCAGAACGATCACCGAATCACGTGACTCTTTAATTCTTATCATTTTTCCGTTTGCCATGTGATAACTATTCAGTGATAACATATTTTAATTGATGGCTCGCTGGGGCAACCATATCTTAAGATTTAAATCGTGGTCTCCACTCCACTCTCTAAGCGGTAATACCGGCTCCCACATGTCAAGCTAAATTTTAAATATTTTAACACGCGCACACGATCAAACGTCGTAAGTCGCAACCCGGTACGTAATTGAATTGTGAGTTTGGGACGTTGAATTGGGATTTGACATTATGATGTAAAGTATAATATCTGTGGATTTGGTTACAGAGGTGAATAAAAATTCAAAAATAAATTGATCCGGTTGAACATTAGAAATAGAAATTCATAAGCGGTAACGAAAATGGTTAAGGAACAATACAGGGACACGGATGGGTCGCGTATTATGTGAGTAATTTAAAACTGGGTGTTGATTTAACAGTATGTCTCGAAACTACCTACTTGTGACATCTCTAAAAATCAATTCCGTATTATAGATCTAAGATCAGCTTTACCGTTGATAATCCTCAAGATATCCAGAGGAAGTCGCATTTGTGCATAAATACTAGAAATCTATATGCCATAAACAATAACAATGCGTCACGTACACCACATCCGTATGGAGTGCTCGATCACAAATTGGTGAGCTTGTAGTAAACTATTTAGCCATTATTTAAAGTTTTCATTTATTAATTTATTTCTTATTTCCCTATTGGCCACATGATCTTTATTAAATAATAATATTATACCCCTTTTAAGTAGTCTAATATTTTCTGTGCACAGGGAGTTAACCAAAAGGATGCGACATGTATGACATGTAACAAGGGGTTGAATGACTGTCCAGGGCATTTGGGCTTCATAGACCTGCAATTGCCAGTTTTCCATGTGGGATTCTTCAGTTCAGTTATAACAATATTACAAACAATTTGTAAAGTAAGCCAATCCATCAATATATTCCTCATCTTTACTTCATATAAAATTACTTTTTTATACAATTCTACCAACTATTGCAAATATTTATTTCAGAATCCTTTTTGTGCTAAAGTGTTATTAAATGAAGAAGATCGAATGTTTTTTTATACAAAGTTGAGAAACAAGAATTTAACATATACAATGCGTAAAAAAGTGTTTAAAGAAGTCCATGCCAAGGCAAAAAAAGTGCAGATATGTCCATTTTGTAGTGACATTGTGGGACAAGTGAAAAAAAATGGTATTTTAAAAATATCATATGATCGTTACAGGTATAAAAAACCTGGCACAGAAGCTGAAAGTAAATTATGTAAGTATTATTATTGATATCAATGCAATATGCCAATATTTATAATTTGTTTAATGAGAATCGTACAAATTAAATCAATTAGGTGCTTTGAACGATGTGGTAAAATATAATAAAGAAGTTGAATCCATGAGAAATTATTTATTTAATGAGAATCTCAATCCCCAAGAAGTATTGCGTCTATTGCTATCCATACCTTATGAAGACATTATATTGTTGGGTATGAATCCTGAGGTATCAAATCCTGGGTGGTTGTTAATGACAAGAATGTTAGTACCTCCAAATTGTATTCGTCCATCTGCTGTTTCTGATATCCGATCCGGAACGTAAGTGTGATATTATTATAATGAAGCTGTAAAATATAATATTTATGCTCAAAATTGTTAGTTGACACTAATATTAATGCAATTTAATATTTAGAAATGAAGATGACTTAACATTGAAATTATCAGAAGTTTTATTTATAAATGATGTGATTGTAAAACATAAGCAGTCTGGAGCAAAACCCCAGTTATTGCACGAGGACTGGGAATACTTGCAGTTACATTGTGCCCTATATATTAATAGTGACTTATCTGGTGTTTCACGTACAATGATGGTGAGTATGAAATAATATAAAATATTTTAGTTAAATTATTTCACTCAATATCTAATGTAATATTATTTTTTTAGCCCAAAAAAATTGCTAGAGGTTGTGTTCAGCGTTTGAAAGGAAAACATGGACGATTTCGTGGTAATTTATCTGGTAAAAGAGTAGACTTTACTGCACGGTCTGTCATTTCACCAGATCCAAATCTTCGAATAGAAGAAGTAAAAATTAAAAATTTCAAACTGTTTTACAATACAAACTTCATTTCCTTATTGGTCTTTTAGGTTGGAGTTCCAGTTCGAATGGCGAAAATTTTAACATATCCTCAAAAAGTATGTCCAGCTAACATTGAGTTAATGCGTAAGCTGGTAATGAACGGACCTGATATTCATCCAGGTGCTAATTTTGTTGAACTTCAAGGTTCTAAGTTGAAAAAATACTTGAGATTTGGAAATAGACCGTCTATTGCAAAAGATTTAAAAGTCAGTGTTTTTTTATAAAATTCCTATATTTTTATTTTAGCTAATTAAATATTAAATAAATAATATGTATTTATTAAAAATAATTTTAATAGAAGCTTACTAGCAAAGTATCATCATAAAAACATGTCCTCTTAAATTAATCCTTAACTTCATTTTCTTCCATTTAAAATAATTAAATAATATAAGCTGAATCCTTTTTGATGTGCTTACACTATTTTATTATGTAGGATAATTTATTAATTAATATTTCATGTAGATTGGAGATATTGTTGAAAGACATTTATCTGACGGCGATATCGTATTATTCAACAGACAGCCTAGTCTTCATAGACTAAGTATAATGTGTCACCGTGCAAAGGTTTTAGAACATAATACATTAAGGTTTGTTTAAGCTATTTGCTTGTTTTTTATACTCGACTATAAATATAAATTTTTAGATTTAACGAATGCGTGTGTACTCCTTATAATGCTGATTTTGATGGTGATGAAATGAATTTACATTTGCCACAAACTGAAGAAGCTAGAGCTGAAGCTGCTTTGTTAATGATTGTTAGTATTAAATTAATATATTAGTTATACTTTATCAATGTTATTTTTCAAATGACAATGAATTCACTTTTATTTTATTGTAGAACAAATCAAATCTTGTCACACCAAGAAATGGAGACATTCTTATTGCTGCTACCCAAGACTTTATTACCGGAGCATATTTATTAACACATAAGAATACATTTCTCAACCAGAGAGATTCTAGTAGACTAATTGGTTGGTTAATGTCCGGGGACGATATTAATATTGATTTAACTCTTCCGCGTCCTGCTATTCTAAAGGTTCATTACAATTATCATTCATAATATAAAAAAATACAATATTTACAAATTGTGTATTGTATAGCCTCACAAACTTTGGACTGGGAAGCAAATTTTAAGTATAATTATGAGACCAAGTGAAAAATGTCAGGTGAAGGCTAATTTGCGGTGTAAAGGAAAATCATATACTCGGGATGAAGAATTTTGCTTTAAAGATTCATGCAAGTCAAACAATTACCATACTTAAAAATAAGTGTGATTATTATTTTTAATATTTTTTGTATAGATGTTTACATAAGGAATTCTGAGTTGTTGGCTGGTACTATGGACAAGGCAACATTAGGTTCAGGTAGTAAATCAAACATATTTTATGTTTTATTGGCCGATTGGGGTTCTGATGTCTGCTGCAAAGTTATGTGGCGTTTAACACGTCTTACGTCATACTTTTTAATGTTACGAGGATTTTCAATTGGCATTGGTGATGTTACACCTAGTGATGATTTGCTTCAATCTAAAAATGAATTAGTTATAAATGGGTAAGGCCTTATATACTAAACTATTTGTTTTTCTGTTAAATGTTTTTTTATTTTTCTGAATCATTGAATTCATTCTTATGTATTTCATTATATAGAAATGCGTTATGTGAGGAAAATATCCGTTTGAGAAATGCAAAAGAATTGAAATGTCAGCCTGGTTGCAATATGGACGAAACTTTGGAAGCAAATATTTTAAAGCAACTGTCTGGCATTCGAGATTCTGTTGGTAAAGCTTGTTTATTAGAGCTTCATTTTACCAATGGTCCATTGATCATGGCGCTCTCAGGTTCTAAAGGTAGGAATCAATTGTATATTTATAATAATAAAAATTGAAAATTATATTAACTATTTATTGTCATCTAGGATCCAATATTAATATATCTCAGATGATTGCATGTGTGGGCCAACAAGCCTTAAGTGGACATCGTGTTCCAGATGGATTTGAGTCTAGATCATTACCACATTTTAAACGATTTTGTAAGTGTAGTTCTTCATATTCAACTTTAAATTGTACTGATTATAAAACAAACATATTAATAAATGTTTTTCAGCAAAAACCCCAGAAGCCAAAGGCTTTGTCGAGAACAGTTTTTATTCAGGTCTAACACCAACAGAATTTTTCTTTCACACAATGGGTGGTCGTGAAGGTCTTGTGGACACTGCTGTAAAAACAGCTGAAACTGGATACATGCAACGTCGGCTTGTCAAGGTATAATTGATATATTTTATATTTCTAATGTTTAATGTAATTATCACATGTTGACATAAATATTGTTGATTATTAGTCTTTAGAAGATCTGTGTGTCCATTATGATAACACTGTACGTAATGCTTTTGGAGATGTTATACAATTTGAATTTGGAGGTGACAGCTTGGATCCCACGTACACAGAAGGTAAAAAGTTGAACGACTTTATGGATCTTAATTTCTTTTGATGCACTTTCATGTTATTATAAACATATATGTTATATTTTATATACTCATCAAGACATATTTAACATTCAAAATAATGCATCTAAAATTAATTTATCTGAATTGGAATATTTTAATTTTTGTATAATCCACTGATTAACTTTTAAATAATTAAATTCATTTTATAAACAATAATTAATTTTTAGGTGATGGTGTCCCAGTTGATTTCAAACGTGTATATTTCAATGTAACTGCTAATTACCCATGCTATGATGAATGCACATTAGATTCTGAAGAAATTTTGAAAATTACTGAAGATGTGTTATTATCTGAGGATTTTCAAAATGTTAATACTATTTTCACAGAGGAATTGAGGTAATAT